TACTTAGTTGATTTCATCTGCTAAGACTTGTCTCCAAATCGGTCTGTTCCTATAGTGATATTTGGGGGGAGGGTGTCCACCTCTTGCTGTAGAGATAACACCCATTAGACTTAATGACTTCTTTGACTTGCTTCTTGCTCATACATTTCAGCAAGACAACCAGGAAGACTGGAAACAGTAGAACTGATTAGGCTGTTAAATGAGACACACCTAAATTAAGACATAAGGAAATAAATACAGGGCCTCCCTGGTGGCGCCAGGGGTTAAGCACCGCACTATGAAGCAATCCACAGCCTTCGCAGCACGAATTCGATCCCCGACCAGCCAGGGAGCAACCCACATGGCGCAGCAGACCTCTCCTGTCTCCCCCCTGCTCCCCTCAGCAGTGCCTTTCAGTAGATCTGCCTGTTCTGCTCCCCACTCTGTCTCTGGGGAATCCTCTCATCCCTCCCCCACACCTTTGGCCTGTACCCCGGCTCTTGTGTGCATAAATAAATAAATCTTTTAAAAAAAGGAAATAAATACAGCTCATGTGAAAATAGAAATCATTTTGAGATTATATCTATGCTTTTGCTTGCCTGGCTAGTTTCTTTGAGCCTGTTTCTCAAGCTATGAAATGAAGCAACTGATAAATCTTTATCTAGGACATGAGGCTAAGTGTGAATGGAATGTATAATATTGAAAAAAAATCCTAAATTTAAACCAAGAGTGATAAATTTAATTTGCTTCTGAACGTGAGAACTAGCCAGTGGGTTACAGGGTATGAGCCGCAAAACCTGAAATTGTCAGTGACGCCGTCGACGCGGCCAGCCCGCTGTCCCTTTGGCAGCTTCTCGGAGGAATGTTGTCCTTTCGCACGGCTCGCCAGCGCCGTCGCCTCAGCAGAACTCATTTTCAGGTGGTTCTCTCATTCGATTTGCAAGTGAGCATCCATTTTTCTGTCCCTTCCCACACATTTTCATAGACCTCAGAAACAGAATGGGGAAGAGCTGAGCGGACAGCGAAATGAAGAGTTGCAAGAATGGGAAGTGTGCATAGACGGTGACGAATAGAACGCCCAGAATAGAGGGGGAAGTCGTTTGCCCTTTTCTCTCAATTTAGCCTTACTTGGTACCTCACCTGATGGAAGCTTCGTGTAGGATGTTGCAGAACACAACACCGACCGGCCGGCGTGAGGCGCTGCTCCCCTCCCCGGAGCTGAGTGAGGGAGCAGAAACTCGGTGGCTGGAGCCTTACATGCCAGAGCGCTGCGGCAGTAGCGGGGAGGATTGTGAGAGTGGCGAGAAGAGGGAGATGAGCTTTCCGGACTGCCCCCCGACGGCTTCTTGGATGAGGTGGCCGAGGCCTTTTTAGGAGTAGGATTTGCCGAGCCATGGAGCCCGGGGCGTGGGGGCTTCCCAGGCCAAGATCAAGGCCTGAGCAAAGGCTCCCCGGTGAATGTCCGTGATGGTGCTGGGTGCTGTCGGCTGTGAGAATGTAGCTGCGAGCTTCCCTGGCTCTCTGGGTGCCGTGCTGAAAACCCTCTATAATGAAGTCACTGAAGAAATAATGTGTCTTCGGGTTTAGTTATTTGTAGGAATGAAGGCGGTTAGATTTTTGATCAAAAAAAAATTTACCTTTCATCTATACACGCATCCCTAGTGGAGGTTTGTATCCTCGATGCTTGCATCTGACTCCCCCGGGCTTGCTGCAGTTAGCTTACAGCTCCGGCGGGGCCGGGCCAGAGGCCGGTGCGATGGGTACATTGTTCACCATCCACCCCAGTGCAAGGTGCAAGTCCACACTGGAGCCATCAGAGGATAGTGTCAGAGGAGAGGGCTGGCACACAATGCTCTCTTTTTAGCTTTAGTTTTTAGGTGTCTGCTGAAAATATGGCTCATTTCCTTTCCTGCCAGTGAGCTACTTCTTCCCACTCAGATTAGCATGTGCCGTGGACAGGAGGAGCGTGAGCGCCAGCACCTGGTGTGGGACGGGAGGGAGCATCTGTTGCCTGCGTCACGGGTTTGTTTAGAAGGACACTATTAATGGAATACGGAAATCATTTGTAGCTCTATGTAAATCTGATTTTAGAGTTTCATTGCTAACTCAGGCCACGTGTGTGTTTGTGTGTAACTATTCTGCAGATATTGTTTTAAATACCACAGAGTTCACCCTTTTAACGTATACAGCTCAGTGGTTTTTATAGTCTCTGAGGAGTGCAACTATCACCATTTTGTAATGCCAGAATATTTTCATCACCCTCCCTTAAAAACAAGCCCCGTACCCATTAGCAGTCATCCCCCATTAAAATTCCCCACCCCCAGTTCTATCGAACAGGGACCCTACTTTCTGCCTCTATGGATTTGCCTATTCTGACATTTTATATAAATGGAATCATATAATGGACTTTTGCCTCTGGCGGCTCTCACTTATGTTTTTGAGGTTCATCCGTGTTGTCGATCAGCACTTTACTCCCCTGATGGCTGGTTAATCTCCTGTCGTGTGGGTATGTCACCTCTTGTTAGCCATTCAGGTTGATGGGCACTTGGGCGGTTTACACTTCTTGGCTATTGTGAAGAATGCTGCTGTGGACACTCAGGTAGAAGGTTTTGTGTAGAGGTATGTTCTCATTTTTCTTAGCTGCATACTTAGGAGAGGATTGCTCTGCCATACCACAGCGTGCAAAACTGCCCGCCTGTTGTCCCATGTCAGCGCACCATTTCCCATCCCCAGCAGCAGTGTGAGAGGGCTCTGGTTCTTCCGGTCCCCGCTCGACCCTTGTCATTATGTGTCTTTTTGATTCTAGCTGTCCTAGCTGGTGTGGAGTGGTAGCTCAGAGCAGTTTTAATTTGTGCTTCCCTACTAATGTTTGGTGTTGACCATTTAAATTGGGTTATTTGGTTTTTTATTGAGGAGTTCTAAGAGTTCATTATATAGAATGGATATAGGTTCCTTATTCAGATACATGGTTTGCAAATATTTTCTCCCTTTCTGTGGGCTCCCTTTTTATTTTCTTAATGGTATCCTTTGAAGCACAACAGCTTTTAACTTTGATGGAGTCCTTTTATCTTTTTTTCCTTTTTGTTGCTTATGTGTTTGAGGTAATATTGAGTTGTCTTTCATACCATGTGAGTTACAGCAAAGCATAGGAAGCAATTGTCCTTGTGGTCTGGTGGGTAGCAGTACTTGAAGAAAACTTAAAATGATTTCCATTTCATTCTAATTGCGGCATTCAGTCGAACTAGGCTTTGAATGAAAATGGAGCTTAAAAAATACTTTTGCAAGCAAAAGGAAATAGTATGACTGTGCAATCAAATCAGAATTTTGAAGATTGAACTCAGTTTGATTATTCTAGGTTTTCTTGCAGACTTTAAGCTTTTCCGTGGTGAGTGTGGGTTAAAGCATGTATTTCCTGCTGTCTAGAAAACTGACAAGTCTGGAGATACTACAGGCATTTTAATACTGGTGTAGCACATTTCCGTGTGAAAGATTCCTCAGGCGCTGGCACGCAGTAGGCTCTCAGTAAGTGGAGCACTGCTTTCCCACCGCTCCCCGGAGCTCGGGGCTCCTGGGGAGCCCCTCCAGAGTTCTGCAGAAATTCCAGGCACGTTTCACATGGAACTTGTTTTCCGCTCTTGAACTGCCAGAAAGCTCAGTCACGCTCGGAGGCGCTTTATGCCGCACTTTATGTTACAGGTGGAATGTGGACTGGCTGGGTCGGGTCAGCTTGTTTTCCTGCCAATCTTGAAATCCAGCAGGCGGCTGCCAGTGTGACTGCTTGTTTTCCTCCTACCTGGGGCACACGAAAGCCCTCACAAGCCAGGCCTGAGCGCTGAGGCCACAGAGGGGCCAAGTGCTGGGCTTCAGGCAGGCCCCGCATTGCCGCGTCGGTGTCCTGGGCAGCACAGGCGCAGCTGTTCTTATTTTCTCTTTAACCCCCAATGTCAAGATTTTTTTCGTTGATTGAACTTTGAAGTTAAGGACTGCAGAACGTGTGTGTCACAGAGATGCCCTGTGCTTTGACACCAGGTGGAGAGGGGCCTTGAGCCGAGAGAGGCTGGGCTCCAGCCACTCGCAGTCGGTTCTGGGAAAGCTTCTCGCTGAGTCTGGCCTCCCGGGCTGGAATCCGAGCGAGTGACGCTTACTGCGTGTGCCTTCTCTCCCAGGAAGGCTGATGGGGAAGAACATTCACACCTGCCCGCATAATCCTGTTTGTCCTGCTCATGGCCCTTGCTGAAGTGGCCATGAGACCTTTCCATCCAGCTGCCCGCCCGTAAGCACTTCTTGGCGCGCTCCCGCCACAGGAACTTGCTCTCCGCCACGGCCGGCTGCCTTGGTGAGGGTCCCGGCCTTCCCCGGCCCTGGGAGGTAGGCCCTGCTGCTGTGGGCCAGCGAAGGTCGGGCGGCGGTCGGGCGGCTGCGGGCCTGTGCTCCTGGACTTTGCACCGGGAACCAGGGAAGTTTTCACTTCTGCCAGGGCTCCCCAGAAGCTTCCCCTGGCTTCCTGTGTCACACCCGTGCCCTGCGCTCTCGTGGCCCTTCTGTTCTCCTTGCTTGTGTGAGCTTTATTCTCTGCAACAGGGCTAATCAAGTCACTCAAAATTTGGGCAAATTTGGAAGAATGAATGAAATATTTTACATTTCATCTTAACACACTTTTATAGCTGTTTGAGTATGAAACTTAGAACAGATGAGCGGGCAGTTAAAAAACTTTTTGGAAAAAAACTAAAGCATAGAATTTGTTTCTAGGACTTTATTTTTTTTAGGCTGAGAAAGGCCATGGATAGCTCCAGGAGCGGTTTAGTTTTTAAACCACTGAGTCTAGTTGCTAGTAGAACTCAGTCTTTTTATTATTTTTTTACATGTTATTTCTTTATATTCTTAAACTTATGAAAAGCAATATATGTACAGTGCTAAGGTGAGTTTTCTAATTTTTTCTTTGTACATGATAATGCTTGAACTGAACAATTAAGGTAAGATTTGTGACCTATATGCTTAACCTTATTCATATTTCTTTATAGAATTTAGCTGAGTTGCTAAAGCCATGTTTTAACCTTGCTGGAGATTGTCACCTTTGGGCAGTCATTCCCAAGTGTGGAGTGTAAAAGACTTCACGTTTCATTTTAAGGTAAATTTCAAAACTAATCTAATAGGATACCTTTATTCACTTATACTAGAGAAGTTTTAAATGATTTTACTGTTTTTAGAGCAGAACAATGGAGCATGTTTAATGTTTACAAGCTGGTCATGATGTTAATGTACAGATTCTGTGATGTTAACTTTTGTGAGATGTTAATGGGAAATAAGATGGTTTGTTAATGAGCATTATCGCCATGTACATTTATAAACAGCTCTACAGTTACAGAGAGATGTTTGTGTGTATGTTAGTTGTTTTAGCAAATACCAACATACTCCCAAATAGGATAATGGGAGGCCCCAAATTGTAGATGGGAAATGTAGAAAATTGTACCCTGTTTTCTGTATGTAGGTCTCACACCCCACATTTGTTTGATCAGAATAATGATACAAACTAGGAAATCCCACATTGTTATGGAAAAAAAACTATGAAAATGTCTTGATAAAATTATAATCACATCTCAAGGAGCCCTTAAGATTTACATTGGTAGAAATGTACAGCCGGTCATCTGGGTGGAGGTTGTTAGATTGCATAATCTGGTTTATAATTTGATGTAAAGATCCTAGCAGTTCAATGCTGTACAATACACTTTGTGTCCAGTAAGGCAACTAGGGACTTATTAAAATAATGGGTTAAGCAAGAGAGAGACTGGAATAAAGCGTGTCTGTTAACCCTCGTAACCCCACAGGGAACCTCTGTGTTTCTGTATCTCAAGCATTGTGTGACAGAAACAACCTTGGCATGGGGTCTTTGGGGAGGGTTCCCAGTATGGCTGATGACTGAGCTGAATGGGTAGGTGAAGTCAAGCGGGGTGGACCACGAGCGGGGGGAGCAGCAGGTGTCAGAGGGAAGGCAAGGGAGAGTGCGGGGCTGAGCAAGTGGAATTGAAATTCAAGTCCATTTCACTGCATTTCAGAATGGCCTAAGCTGAAAATGTGAGCAGGGAAGGTGGCCAGAGTGAGGCAGGCCGGGGGAGAAATGTCACCTTAGAAGTAGAACTTAGACCTGAATCTCTGGAGAACCACTGAGGAATGTTCAGGAAGGATATGAGACATAGCTTTCCCTGTGTCAGAATAGTTGGTTTGTCTTTTTGCTTCTGTTACTCTTTTTCTGTAAGTTGAAGTTATTTATGCAAGACTCCAAGGAATTAAAGGGACGGTTTAGTTGACTGTTCCCTATGTCAGGAAATAAAGGGCCTTGAGCTTGTTTTAATTTCTTTCTAACATCAACTGAGTGTGGACATTGGGCAGAGCAATAGGATGGAAATCAAAAAAATTTCCAAGAGGTATATACCTTGATTGCCTCACACAGTAGCCAATTTAAATTGTACTAATTATAGTAGTAATTACTGTAGCTATAATTTAAAAGAGCCAGTAAGAGTTAGGGACAAGTTGCTACAGGTTTAGCCAGAAGAGTATCGTTGGAAATGCAGAGAGAACTCTTGTGTGTGACAAGAAGTGTTCAGTTGCGACTCACTGGGTCACCTTTGCAGATAAGCTGGAGAAAGCCAGATAGACCTGACTTCCAGGATTTTTCAAATTCATCCCGGGCAACATTGTTCGTGTCTTTATTATGTAAGGGATCCGCAGTAACCACTTTCATGATAAAGTTAACGACCAGTTTTGCTCTGGAGGTGTGCTGTCCAAGACAACTATCGGTTTTTCACATGTGGCCATTCACATTACTTAGAATCAAGTGAAATGTAAAATTCAGTTCCTCACTCCCCTGCCCGGGCCCTTGGGTGCTCAGCAGCCACCAGCGGCTCACGGCTGTCATTTCGGATCGCGCGATGGAGGCCTCTTGCACTGTTGCAGAAATTCTACTAGACAGCACTATTCTAAAGCTTGCCTATTTTTACAAATTTTGATCTGTGTAAAAGTCTGAAATGGTATAATTTGATTCAAAATAACTGAGAAGGGAAAATAAGGAATTACGGGGCGGGGGAGGATTTGCCATGCATTGGTAATCGGTGATGCTAGATTTAGGGTCCGTGGGGTTTCATTACATTTATTCAGAAATTTTGTGTATGTTTGGAATTTCCCACAATAAAGAATTAAAGCAGGAACCTTAAATAGTCACTGTGCTCTCCTCAGTGCTTCAAAGCAGCTGGCTCTCCATCGCATCTGAGATCTTGCCGACTGGGGAGCTGTAGTGTAGAAGAGCTTGTAATCCTGCCCCAGGGCTTCCCCCAGAGGCTGTGTCTAGGACCACCTTTTTGGTTTAAGGTTTACTTCATTGCCCCTGGAAAACCAGGTAACTGCACAGACTCACACTTAAGAGAGAGAACTGGCCGACTGAGTGTGATGAGTAGAATGTATTAGATTACAGCTTTAAAAATGCCGTTGCTGGGGATCCTCCCTGGTGGTGCAGGGGGTTAAGACACAGCACTATGAAGCTATCAGCAGCCACTGCAGCACAAGTTCAATCCCCAGCCAGGGAGCTACCCTCATGACACAGCAGATCTGCCTGAATATATAAATAAAAATAATCTTTTTTAAAAAATGCCATTGCTGCTGACATTAATTTTACAGACTCAAAAGTGTTCCTAACAAAGGGACTCGAGTCCCATTTACTCAGTGGTTGGCTTATTTTTGTTCACAGCCAGATCAGACAGCTTCTGTCTCTGGTTTCCTGGTTACCAGTTGCTATGGTGACAGCATTGGGAAAAAGTGGGGGATTGGGGCGGTGGTTGAGAAAACCCTTGGCACAAGAGGAGAGGCCATCCATGAACACTGTCACCGTGCCAACAAAGGGGTTTGAAGTTGTTACAAAAACTTGTCTCCTTGGGTCTCTTACCGCATTTCTAACAAACAGTGGCAGGGCTTCTTGTGTGGAGAGCGGAGCGGTTAAGAGCAAGGTCATTGGGGTCAGGCTTGGCGGCCTTGAGTGCCAGCTTTAGCTGTGACTCGAGGAAGGGGAAGAGCGAGCCGCCCCCCCCACCCCCAGCTATCTCGGGGTGTCATGGTAGGTGTGGTTGAGTAAAGGACAGCCTTGTGCTGAATTAACTGGGTGCAGAAAGGAATTGTTACGCAAAACAAATGTTTTCATTTCCCATGCACGCTGATGTTCATAGCATTGTGGAGAGCAGTGTCCAGCTCTGAAGTAAAATAATGGTACCTTTTTATTTTACAGGGTTCTGAAGTCCAGATCTTGAGTTTAATAATGGCAGGAAAATCATCACTTTTTAAAGTAATTCTCCTTGGAGATGGTGGAGTTGGGAAGAGTTCTCTTATGAACAGATACGTGACTAATAAGTTTGATACCCAGCTCTTCCATACCATAGGTGTGGAATTTCTAAATAAAGATCTGGAGGTGGATGGACATTTTGTGACCATGCAGATTTGGGACACCGCTGGTCAGGAGCGATTCAGAAGCCTGAGGACACCGTTTTACAGAGGCTCTGACTGTTGCCTGCTTACTTTTAGTGTCGATGATTCTCAAAGCTTCCAGAACTTGAGTAACTGGAAGAAAGAATTCATATATTATGCAGATGTGAAAGAGCCTGAAAGCTTCCCCTTCGTAATTTTGGGGAACAAGATTGACATAAACGAACGGCAAGTGTCTACGGAAGAAGCCCAGGCCTGGTGCAGGGACAACGGCGACTATCCTTACTTTGAAACAAGTGCAAAAGATGCCACAAATGTCGCCGCAGCCTTCGAGGAAGCAGTTCGGAGAGTGCTTGCTAGCGAGGATAGGTCAGATCACTTGATTCAGACAGACACGGTCAGTCTTCACCGCAAGCCCAAACCTAGCTCCTCCTGCTGTTGACCGTGACCGGGGTTGCCCGGGCATCCTAACCCGCTCACGCGTACACACAGAGCGGGGCGGGGTGGAAGGGGGAATTAGCATTTGCAGCAAGGATCATCTACTCATAAAATGAAACTAACCTATTTGCTGCTTCCTGAGTGGGTAGGAGAAGGGACACATCCACTCTTGGAAGGATCTATTTACTCAGTAACGGCGCCTTACATGCATACATTGTAACGGTTGTCTAATCTGTTTAATTTAAACGTATAAGTTACAGTGCTAATAAATGAGATGACCCAGACTTTAATTATAATTAAAACAAAACACTTGAATATTCTAGAAGTTACTGGTTTTTTTTCCTGGGAAAAATGGAGACCCTTTTATATGTGTATTTTTATGTAATTAGCATTCTATTCTTGGTTCAGGGAAATACTTTCCTAAAGCAATAATGTTAGATATTAAAGATTAAAGTCTAATGCATTTGAGCTGCAGTTGTTTGATTTCCTTTTTCATTCTCTTCAAAATTACTTAAATGTTCATATTTTCATTCAGTGCCACCCGCCCACGCCCCACTCCCAGCATGGAAGCCAGCCTCACCTTGGAGGAGATACTGAGAATTGTACTTGGAGGGTCATGTCATCACGGAGTGTTGCTTAGTGGTGTCCTCTGGAGATTTCTTTCTGCTCCAAAATAAGGGTTTGCGATGACCACTTATCGATAAAGCATAGTTTGTGTGCTGCACCATGGACGCTGATCCCCTCCTGCAGAGGCAAACTGAGGCCTGGGCCGCCTGTTAGTGAGGACTGGGCCTTTGGCGGTAGACGTCGGGTTATCAGAAGACATGCGGCAAGGTGGAGTCGGGGGGTACATTTACCAAAACTAGACTGACAAATTTCCCTGGCCCGCCCATGGGGAACCCTGAAAAAGACGATCATTAAGCCAAGCTTTTGAAATTGAATTTCCTAACAATTGTGCCATAAGCAAAACATTTTAACATTTTAAATTTGGGGTAATGGCATCACTTTGGTCTGTTAGAGCTGTAGCTTTTATTACTTAGTCGTGTTTTCCCAGAACATGAATCCATCCGAAAACCAAGAATCCACCATGAACAAATTGGTGTACATTTTCATTTGTTCATTAGGGGACTCGCCCTAAGGACTCTCCTTTTATAAATTAGAAGGACCTATTGTTTTGTGAATTGCCCTTTTGATATACCGGGACACATTTCCACTGCAGGAGCTCTGCATCATCAGCTGTATTCAGGCTGTTTGCTATTGCTAGACATCCGTCAGTTGTACATGAGAGGGCCAGTCACACAGTGGGAATTGAGAGTAATTAAATTACCTTTGAATAGGAAATAGTCACATGGTTCAAAATCCTAAGGCAAAAGGGACACATCTCTACCCCTGCCACCACCTCCTGTTCCTGAAGGCAGCCGCGGTCAGTTTCTTAGAAGCATTTGGAGACAGTGGCCTAGGGCGGCCATGACAAAATACAGACTGGGCAGCGTAAACAACAACGGAAACTTATTTTCTCACACTTCTGGCAGAAGTGCCTTGTAGGGTAAATGGAAGCTAACAGGATTTTTCTGTCCTGCCATTAGCATCTGTGATGGACACCTGTGGCCTCACACGCATGCCTGATGGCGGACACCTGAGTATGGTGTGGGCGTGCGTGAGTGGGCGCGCGTGAGTGGGCGCGTGTGAGTGGGCGCAGCTGAGCCTGGAGGGTGAGGATATAAGCGCGGCAACAGAGGACGGGAGGCTGTAGGGGACCGTAGGGTGGAGAGTCCCCAAGGGCTCCAAGGTTCTCTTTCAAGCTGCCTTTCCTCCAAACACGCCCCCCGCCCCTCAGATTTCCTCCTGCGTCCAAATTTCCTTTCAGAAGCACATCAGCAGATTGGATGGGGTCCACCTATGCTCATTTGACTTAATCACCTCTTTAAAGGCCCAATCTCTGAGCAGTCTGAGAGAGTGGGGGCTAGCACCTCAGCATGAGTTAGGGGTGGGGCCACAGTTCAGTCCATACCCCACACATAGGTGTGCAGGTATTCACCAAGTGTGTAATTTTGATACTTATATAGGTGTAACTAATAGTGGTTTTTACAAGAAACCTAAGTATCTTTTCAGTAACCTCAGTAGGTGTTCAAAGCTCAGGCTGGCCGAAGGGAAGCAATCCAGCTTCGACCAGGACTTAACAGGAAATGAACAGGGGCAGATTCTGCAAACACAGATGTTAAAATACGATAATGAAGAAGAGGAGCAACACCTGAGTAGTTTCCACTTTGAAAGAAGCAACCAACGGAGGAAGCGCTCCCCTGCCAGCAGCCAAAGGTGGCTGAAAATCTGATGATCCTTGTGAAGTAAGTAAAAGGCGCTTTCACGGGTGGGCACTATGCTCGCTGGGGTGAGAAACATGGAAAATGTTGGGGAACAAAGCAGGTGGCGGGGGCTGGGAAGGGAAGGCATGAAACCTGCTCCCCAGCCCGGGCCCCAGCGCTGCCCCTGGCCAGACTCTGGCTCACCTCTGACGCGGTTCTTAGGCTGCCCCTGAAGGGAGAGCCGTTGAGACATGTGGGGTAAATGTAGTTGATCGTGCTTTTTATGCCATTGGCCTCTGTGGCTATCACCTGTGGGTTTGATCTTGTTAATGTAGAAGGCTCGTGGGTGTGGGGCACGTGTGCCTGACTGGCCATCTGGCGTGTGGGTTGCACGCATGCGTAAGTGCATGCACACCTGTGCCTAGAGGTCAGGGCCATGAGGGCAGCATCACTCAGACAAGATTACAGCTACGAGAGGAAGAGTGATTGCGAAAGAGGCGAGACCATGAGATAATTCCAAAGAGTACTTGCCCAGAGAAAGAGTAAAGATTCATGGGGGGCTGGGAGGCTTGGTTGCCTGCCCGCCTCCCAGCCTCCCTGCCTGGGTCCAGAGAGCATTAAAGCCTGGGAAATCGGGGCCTCTCCGGTGGTGCAGCGGGTTGAGCGCCCCGCTGTGAAGCTGTCCGTAGCCTCTGCAGCGCGGGTTTGATTCCCGGCCGGCCGGGGAGAAACCCACATGGCGTGGCAGACCTCTCCTGCCTCGCCCGCTGCTCCCCTCAGCAGTGTCTTCGGTCCATCTACCTGTTCTGCTCCCCGCTCTGACTCTGGTGAATCCTCTCACCCTCCCGTGCCTCTGACCTGTACCCCAGTTCTTGTATAAATAAATAAATCTATATAAAAAAAAAAAGCCTGGGAAATCCATGGAGGGTTCCGGACTCTCCATCTGCCCAAATTGACAGCGAACCTGCCCGGTGCCTGCTGGCACAAGACAGTTCAGCGTTACGGGCGGAAGACGGGAAAGTGCAGGCCCACCGGTGGGCTGGTTACTGAATGCTTTTGTTACCTTCTTCACCCTTGGGAAAAGTTCCTCATTGAGGTTAAAACATCCCAGGTGTTCCTTGCCTTAAAGGAAACCCCTGCATTTTACTTTTCTCTACAAACTGTAGCTCTCACTCTGTTAGACACCATCAGGCCAGGTCTGGTGACACAGTGCCTGGTGGGGCGGTGCACCGCAGGTAGAAAGAGCCCAGTGAGCCGGCAGGAGGTTCTGAGACCACCACTCTGTACCGACAACCAGGAAGTGCCAGCACGGCTGGACACTGGACATGGGCACCCCGGGCCGAGCGGAAACTGGGTCTCTGTGCACAGAAACGCACAGAGATGGCATCACCTTCAGTGGCATCACCACCCACCAGGATCTAAGCTTTCCAGGCCTGCTTTCCTATATATTGTCCCTGGTTTTCCCCTCACGCCAGTCTTGGTTCTGGCCCAGCCCACGCCCAGGACCATCCTCCCAGGCGCACATACCCCCTTGGAGGCCCCACCCGCTCCTGCACTCATCACCAGCCTCGCCCTCAAGCGCCTTCAAAGACAAAGTCACGGGCGCCATTTGGTCCTCGGCGACAGTACTGCTCAGGCCTCCCATTCCTTGTCCCCGCCAGCCCTCACAAGCCTGGGGAACAGGGTGCTGTCGTGTGGCTGACCCAGGTCCTGAACAGCAGGCCTGCCACCCTCTGCCTTCTGCCCTAACGCCACGCTGCTGCTCCTGGCTGGCCAGAACCCCGAACCCCAGCTGTGTGCAGTCAAGCTCGCTGAGGCCCGCGGAGGCCAGGGCAGCAGCAGGTGGCCTTGGAGTGCTCTACTGTTGGCGTGACTGAAGTCACTCCGAGGGTTTCGGGTATCTTTTTTTTTTTTTTTTTTTTAAAGATTTTATTTTTGTGTAGAACTGGGGTATAGGCCAGAGGTCTGGGAGGTGAGAGGACCTCCCGGAGACAGAGTGGGGACCAGAGCAGGCAGACTGACTGAAATCCACTGCTGAGGGGAGCAGCAGGGAGACAGGAGAGGTCTGCTACACCCTGTGGGTAGCTCTCTGGCCGGGGACTGAATTCAGGCCATAGTGGTGATAGCGCTGAGACTGAACCCCCAGGCCACCAGGGAGGTCCCCCCAGGTGAATCTTTTTCTGTCCCCACAGCTCTGGCACCAAGTCTGAGGCAAACGGGGCTCTGTAAAACGGGTTCAAATGTGGATTAGTCTGCAAACTTTCAATAGGGGGACGTCGAATGAAAATGAGTGATGGCAGCATGGGTAGCACTTGAAAAATTTGATATTAAGCTACCACAACCTTGGATAAATATCTTTATTTAACAAATCAAATAAATAGAAGCAGTGAAAAAAATTAGGATAGTGATTTCACATAAGGATACAAGAATGAACTTAGAGGAATTACTTGCTGAAATCATTCCGAAGGAAATGAAATTCTTTAAGTTCTTTTAGCGCAAAAAATACCTGATGATGTCTCTTGTTTTTCAATGGATAATGACTATTTTACTGTGAGATCCCACACTTGTTATGGAACAAGAGACAACTTCTGCCCCCTCTGGTATGCAGCCTAGGAGGCTAACAGTGTAACTGTTAATGTACTATAAGCTTTTAAAAATTACAATTCTAAAATTGCTTTACAGCACTTCACCAGTACAGAAATCCACAGGTTTATTAATGTCTACTTACTGTCTAAGGGAAATGAACTGTATATGAGAACATAATCTGTCACTTTGGTCCCTGCCTCCTATCTTACAAACATGGTGGCAGCTTCTAGAATGATGGCAGGCCCGCGGTCCCTGGTCTCTGACAGGCAGGCATGTGGTATCGGGCACTGCAAAAGGTGCCGTTCGGCCTCGTGGGCACTGCTGTGCCTCCCGCCTGTGCTTCTGTGACGGCATCTCTAGATGGCCAAGGAAGTCCATGCGCATGAAGCTTTTACTTTTAAATCTGGCTACTAAATCTTGCCAGCGACATTGGTTCTGGACAGTTACATCAGTCAAGCTATTTAAATATAGAAAGTCAAAAGCTTATTTTCAAGTTTCAAAATATATTTCAACATTGTTGATAAAGAACTATAAATAACACTATTCAGAAGTGAATACTGATCTGTTGATAATCGTAAGAAACCGAACTACTGTTTTTAAATACAAAAGGAATTACATTAGGTTTAGATTAAATTGAGATCACAATAACTGTTTTCTAGGCTGTTTAATCAAGTTACAATGTCACATGCCTGAGTATACCCCCTGTAGTGGCATAATTTCTGAATTTTTCTGCATTCAGCTTAAAAGATGTTTCTTCCCAAGAAACTGAACTTTTCTGTCAAATGCGCTTGATCGAATAGGAGAATTGGGTTCATAAAATGGATTCATTGCAAACTAGGAGAGAAGAAGAAATTAGTGAGCTCAGAGTAAAAAGGCTGACAAATCATAGGTCTCTAAGAGGAACCTAAGGTTTTAAAATAAAAGAAACCAATAACATTCAAAACAAAGTCTAAGACTACATTTTGAAGTTTCAGTAAAAATGTTCCATTGTTAAATACTAAGGTCCCTTTAAGGAAATGTTTGTCTTGGTATTTTACTTTCGAGAAGTACTGGTGGCAAAACCAGTACTTTCTGATATGAAAGATTCCCTTTCAGGATCCACCCTGGATGCAATACTGATCTATACATTATAAACATGGATTAATCTGCACAGCCCTTTGGCTACATACAACAAACAAAAACCGTTCAGAGTAAAGAAAAAGTTATACCCCACTGCTCATCAATGTTGCGCTTGTGATTTTTTAAACAATCAGATTTCTAAAATTCTTCTTTAATACAAGATTAAATGACCCATCTCAAGCACTGTAATACATCAGAAAATTATTATATTCAATGGAATCACTAATGAGGAAAGGAATACCAGCTTTTATTCCGTGAACACTTGGTGCTGACCATCTTCACAAGAAGGCTAAAAATTCTTACTTGCTATTTCTGACAAGGCCTGTCGATTGTTAACTGATCTGATATGAAAGGAATCTAGACCAAAACCAGGACATTTAAAGTAAGGCACGCTGTCGTTCGCACTGCAGTCTAACCACTGACATCCTGTCACTATTTTTCCAACTAAGGGTCAGGAGATGTAGCTGGCACCCTGGTTCTTGAGTGACTATTTGATAATAGAAGAATCACTTCCTGCCAGTGTATGATCCGTAGTCACTGCATTTTAACTTGTCAAGTAGATGGGAAACATTTTAGGTTAGAAGTATGAGGCAATTTTCCTTCCGCAGACTGCTTCCTTTTCTCTCATTAGAGCCCCCTAATAAAATCGAGTGTATGCACCCAAGAGGGGAGAATGAAACCCCTTTAACAATAACTACCATGAGTTTTTCCCTAAGTGCCACTGAGCTGGTGGTGGGGACTTGCCTGCTGAGGGGCTGCCAGCAGAGTTCTCAGAGGGGGAGAGGAAGTCGGAGATGAAAACTGGGGAGTAAGAGAGCTGCTTCTATAGGCAAGTTTCCTTTTGGTGTGAGAATCCCTTTTATAAGTAAATTCTGAAAGAAAATGCCATACCTTTATGTACAAGTCATAGACATCAGTGAAGAAGTTCTTTATTCCATCTTCTTGCCGTATGTCATGAAGCATAATAAATCTCATATGTGAAAGAATTAAGGTATCATCTTTCTTAGAAATGAAAACCAAAAAGTGATCACGTGATACAACACTTTAAATGGGTCACACGCAGTGTATTTTGTGATGGGAAGGTTGACTACATAAACTGGGTTTAAAGGTAGGTTAGTTTTATCTTAAAGAGAAGATAATCCTGTTAGGTTAGAGAATAAGTATAAAATAAAATCACCCTTGATAGGATTCAGACAAACCTTAGTCTTACAGAAGAGGCTTGGGTTTAAAAAGATCGGTTAAAATGTTTTTTTTTCCCCTTAAAACTACCAAAGTAGCCCCGTACTTGACAAGCTTACCTGACCCTGAAGTCTGACCCAGGGCCTGGCAGCTCTGGCCCATGCTGCCCCACCTGCCATGCCACCCTTTAGTGGGGGGGGGGGTTCCCGTAAAAAGGCAAGGATATGACCCGCAGTAACAAACGCTGAGACAAACCACTCGTTGAACTTGTCCACAGTTTTCAGGTACATGTTGTTCGACAGCCACATGTTCTCGTCGACGAGGTCGAGGGCCGCGTGAGCGATGAACTGGTTCAGGTGGCGGTGGTCGTCCTAGAGGACAGCGAGGGCAGCACCAGTCAGTGTCTCCGTGCAGCCTGCGAGGCCAGCACTTCCCTCCACATCCACACCTCGCTCCTTGTGGGGAGCAGGAACTTCTGCTTCTACGCGATGACGGTCACGAGGCCTAGAAAACTGCATTTTCCTTCTATCTTTTAACTTGGTATCTAACACTTAACAAATAGGAACAAGTCGAACAAAATGTGTTCGAGAAACTGAAGATTATTTTCTTAATATTGCAAGAAGGAAGTTAGCAAATTCTCTCACCACTTAAGTGCGGCGATGAAAGCATACTGTGTAAAAATAGAAAAACAGCGAATCCTGCTTCCGGGGCTCTCACGTCTCGCTAGAGGAGACAAGACACCTTCATGCTGATGGTAAGGGGCAGCGGGGGAGGTGGGCGTGGGGGGCTCCGTGTGCTGAGGTGGGCTTCCTCAAGGCTTGGTACAGGCCTCTGGCACCTGCCCCCGCTGTCAGCCGTCACCGTGTCAACAGGGGAGCTGGTCCAGGAGAGGGGGGAGGAAGGGGGTGCAGGGGGGGCTTTTGTGGGCCGACATGGCGGAACTAGAGAAGGTGGGAATGTAGTCTCACGTGTGTGCAATTCTTTCTTTCAAAAATGCCTTTTCCAAAAATACTGCTGGGGGTGAATCGTGTGTCCCTGAAGTGCCTCTGTGACGTTCTAAGCCCAGCACTAGGAATATGGCCTTACCTGGAAAGAAGGCCGTTGCAGATGTGATCAGCTAGGACGAGATGGTAAGAGTAGAATGGGCCCCCACTCCAGTGTGACCGGTGTCTTCTCAAAGGGGGCTACGTGGAGACATGCGTGCCGGAAGCCTGCCATGAGCCAGGGCACTAGGGAGGCCCGTACAGACCTTCCCCGCACACCTTGATCTCCAACTTCTGGCCTCCAGAACTGAGAATAAATTTCTGCGCTTCCGAGCCACCACTGTGACAGCAGCCTCCATTACTCGGCCGCAGCAACCGGAGCAAAGCACCCACCTCCCTGTCTCCCTGCCTCCCTTCGAAGGAAGCTGTCGCGGGCCTGGGCTGGAGGCAGGGGCAGCTGCCCAGGAAACCTTAGCACACAGGGCATGTTTACTCCACGCTCGTCGCCATGACACAGCTGGTTTACTCCTCAGAGAGATGATGTGCCTGTGTCAGGCGCCCCGCAGTGCGTTCCCTCACTCGCGCGCTCGAGCACTCTCGGGAGCACAGGAGGAACGCGCAGAAGTGCTTGGAGAGGGTGAGCGGTACCAGAAGGAACAGAGATCAAGTTGTGGGACGAAGTCTTTTTTGAGGCACTGCCCTGCCTCCCCCAGGGCCCCGGAGTGCAGGGACTATGCAGGCCACCCATACAACACAGCACCGGGGGCTACAGAGAGGCCTGGAAACCGAGTGTTAAAACCCAGATGATGCCTTAAAACAAAGCCTTTGTTTTCATGAATTTCTTTCACTATGCAGAAGCTTTTTAGTTTGATGTAGTCCCATTTATTTTTGCTTTTATTTCCCTTGTCTTTGGACACATAAAGACATTGGGCAAAAAAAGACATCCCCGCGGCCAGAGCTGTGGAGTGTTTTGTCTATATGCATTTAATGGATTCTGGCCTTATAGCCAAGTCTTTCATCCATCTAGAAATGACTGCAGAATGGAGGCTGCTAGAGGGAGGGGTGGGAACAAAGTGGAGACGCCCATGGTATTTGATAAAGGAGTGTGGGTGCTCTTGGGTGGAGGGTGTGCTGATGCACCTCTGAAGAGGCGTGGGCCTGTTCCTCTGAGTCACGTACAGTGATGTCAACCAACATTAGCTCACAAAGCAAAACAAATCTCTGTCCTAGTCTACTTGCAAGATCTAAACAGTCAAAAAGCACCACACACTGGACACCATACATTACATGAATTTCAAAAATCAATTCCTGTCTTAAAGGACATCCCAGCTTATTTTTGGAGGTTGGGAGGAACTCAGCCTAACTGGCAGCAATTTATGATGGAGGGGACCCAGCTATTTTTATTTCCACTGCTCTGTGCACGCCGAATTGCAACATATTTTTGCACTGAGCTTGTTTTTCCAGATGGGTCTTGACAACAAGAAAGCTGGGTGGAGTCATGGGAAGGAGAGCAGGAGGCACCACCCAGCCAGTAAGTGCAGCAGAAGGTCACGGGAAACTGTGGCTATACTCAGGGGGGCGAAAGCAACGTGGAAGCAGGGTCTCTGTGACGTCCCCGAGCCTAAATGCACCTGCTACCTATGTCCCAGGGAAATGCGACTCCTTCGGACAGAATGGGCAGTCACGGCATTTCACGGCAGCAATGACTGTTCTAGGGTTGCTCTCCGTGGACAGTGTCCATGTGTGAGGAGCAGCATTTCAGTGGGTGACTTGTGAACCGAGTATCAGGGAAAAGGACCCAGTGAACCCGTTAGCGTGCGTGAGGTGTGTGCTGAGCCACAGGACGGAGGACAACTCGGGCCTCCCCAGCTGGCTTCTATCAACCTGGGGACTGCGGAGCAAGCCTCGTCTCATTATGGTAGGTTCCAGTTCCTTTATTTATCCGGGCCTTCCAGATCGCAAACCTATCACACCACTAGCATCACAACAGCACAACAAGTCTTACGGAATCTCTGAGGTCCTATACGTACTTTGGACTCTGCTTTTCCTGCTGGCAGAAACTCCATTTCGAAAACTGGGTTATCATGGTGGCCAACGATTACAAAGTAGTAGCTTCCAGACATTGTCTTCAGTATGGAGGGCCTAAAGAAATGAAAAGAAAGGTATTTTTAGTACTCGATACTGAAAACCCGGAGTGGTTAACAGGAAGTCTAGAGTTCAGTGTTTCCCTTAACCCTGATCCCGGGAAGGCGGTGACTGGGGCCGGCAGGCTTCCCGGGGTCCCAGTGTCCACCCGGACCATGTCCTGTGGAATCCAGTGTGCTCCCTGTCATGGGGGGACTGGAGGAGAAAAGCAGAGCTGGCAGTCATTCTCGGGCGACAGTGAGGGGAGGAGGGACGGGCACTCGCGAGGACGTCACTCCTCCGTGCTGGGCTACGTCTCCTAGCCGGAGTCGGCCGAGCGAAGGGCTTCCTTTCTCCAGCCTGAACATTAGAGGAACCGCAGCAGGAAAAATATATACAAGGAGGAGGGATTCTTCTCCTTCCCCTTCCCCTCACATTTAAGAAGCAGCCGAAGACAAGATAACCCCCCGACACACTCACCCCTCTGAGGAAATCTGCCCTGGGAGAGGAGCAGGGCGCTCCGAGCGTGAGGACGCGGGAAAGGGAGCCGGAGGAGAGGGCCCCCCACATACTCCCCAGCTGGGCAGAATGTGGGTGTCAGTAAGGTGACTGGCAACAGCTGAGGGAGACGCTGTAACTCTTCCGTCCTGACAAGGAGAATGGAAAGGCGGGGCGCCAGGAAAGGAAACCTGGGGAGCCCGCAGACATGTCGTGTCAGGAGGGACAGTCTGCACCAGCTCACTGCTCCGGGGTCCCCACGCCTGGTAGTGGGCAAAGGTGAGACACGTTCTGGAATTCTGGGCTGGCGAGGAGGCGAACTTTCTGTGGGGACGGATGTGTTCTCCGCCTGTGCTGACCCAGCAGCCCGCGGCTAGTGAACATCTGAAACGTGGCTCGTGTGTCGGGGGAAGTGACCTTTCATGTTCATTTCACTCTCATTAAAATGTAAACAGCCACGTGTGGTTTGTGGCCGCTGTCCCGGGCCGAGCGACTCTAGGCCAATGATGCTCAACGTGTCTTTGACGTCCTGCCACCTCCTCCACATCCCCTGCACCCGCCGAGCAAGCAGTAGCACAACTGCAACGTCAGCTGTGCCGGGCGAGGGCGTGTCTGCTGCACTCCCCCTTCACCTGACCCGCGGGCCCTTCAAGTGTCTGCAGGGAAGGCGAGGCCTGGACACAGAACTTCGCAATGGATTAAACCAGGAAGTGAGGAAGATTCGACAATGTTCCCGAACGTCTGACTTGGGGGAGCAAGCGGAGTATCGAGACGACGATGCTGTTTACCGAGAATGATGGGGGGTGAAAGCGCGGTGACCCTCCCCCGTGGAGACATCCCGCCCTGGCCCGGGAGCACGGCAGCGCTCGTGCACATGTGATGAGGGCGGCCCGGCCGCCGGCCCAGCTGGGGCGAGCGCGAGCAGCACGCAGGCGCGCCCCCTGCCATCAGCGGGGCCTTTAAAAGGGCACGCGTGCAGCCCGCGAGGAGGGGCACGCGGCGCCGCGAGGGCGGGCGCGGAGGAGCGGCGTCGCTGGCTTTTCGGCCGGAGGAAGGCGCCTCTGGAAGCTGGGAAGGACAAGGAACATTCTTCCCAGGAGCCTCCCGAAGAGGTCCTGCTCCCGGCGAGGCTTCCCCCCGGGGCGGACGCGCACGCTGCGGAACCGGGAGCCGGTGAGTTTGTGCGGTCACGAGGGCTGGGGAGTTGTTACGGGAGCGGCAGGACGCGCACGGCCGCGGCAAAGGAAAAGCCTGCAGGTGTGAGGGAGAGAGACACCCAAGGAAGAGTCAGCAAAAAGACAGAAGGCGCTTTGGGTGAGGAGACCGGGGCCAAGCGGAGCCCGCTCACCCTGGGACCTGGTTTCGGAGCACTGCGGGGAGGCGCGGGGGGGTGGGGGTGGGGGTGGGGGTGGGCAACGGTGGGGCCAGACGAAGCTTCTAGGGACGACACGGGGACGCCCTAAGAACAGAGGCTGTGGCGCCCGGGCCCTGACAGCCCAGCACATCCGCGCTCGGGCGGGCGGAGTGGGGAAGGTGGCGGCCGCTGCTGGAAACCGCGAGGGGAAGCGGAAGGAGGCATGGCGGGAGGCGCGGCGCGCTGCTGAGGCCCGGGGGCTCGGGTCTGACCCAGGAGGTCCGTGGTCGGGAGATGAACCGCGCCTTTGTGAGAAGCTGCTGCTGGTGCTGAGGGACTGACAGAGAAAGTCCCCAGGGCGAGAGGCTGCACTTGCTGGCGGCACGGTGGGGAGCCAGGATGCTCACCTGTGGTGGGAACAGCAGCTGTTCCTAGTTTAAGAGCAGTCCGCCTGCCGGGACCCAAAGTTCTCATTCACTGCCAGCTCAGTAAAAAGGCAACAGGCTAGAGTGGCGGCGAGCGGATGCAGCCCTGGGCTGCGTGAACAGAAGACGCTGTCCTCGTCCCTGATGACATGTCTCTGGGGCGCTCAGTTCTGGGAAGAACATTTCAAAAGGATCAATAATGCTGAATTGCGCATTTGGGGGGAGGGTGGCACCTAGGCTAGGGAATGCTGTGGAGACAAGACAAGAGCTACGGAAGGAACTGAAGATGTTAAAGAGACTTGCGGGGCATGGGCTGCAGCACAATGCCATCTGTAAACAGGCTCTCCTGTCTCAGGGAAAAGGTCTCCGACTAGGCGCCGCCAATGGGTTTCCTCTCCCGCGCCAATTCTCACCACCTGGTGGTGCCCCACACGCACTTGTTGGGAGAGTGGGTGAGACGGCTGTGATCAGCCAGGTCTGCTGTGGGTTCGGGAGACAGAGATGGCAGTGCCCAGTCCTGGCTAACCCTGAGCCAGACAGACTTATTCCAAACTGCTCCAAGAGGCAAGCTTCGGGCAAGCTTCGCCCTTTGAGGCAACATGGGAAGGTATTTGGGTTAATGTAACTGAGAACTTGCGAGCAATTTAAAGAACTATCAGGCTCCCTGGCAAGAGGACTAACCCTCCTCACCATGTGCCATTAGTGTGCAAAGGGGAGGCTGGAAGACCACCAGGGTCAGAGTGGGAGGGTGAACTCCGTGAAATTACAGCTCCTACATTTTAAGAAGTTTGAGTTGCAGACAAATGCAAGACAAAAGGCGTGGACTCCAGTTCCCAACCCATACATTTCCCAGGCCCCACCTCTACAGCCTCTGCAGAGGCACTTCCAGAAAGCTGCCCCCTGCTGCTGGTGGCAGTGGTTTCTGTTCTACAGACCTGGGGCTACAAGACTGACCAGGTATGGCACAGGGCACCTCTGCAAGGAGCAGAAGGCACGCCACCCACACAGCAGCTCTCTAAGGTGGCACAGTTGGCAATTCCTCCACATCCAAGTGAGATGGAGAATTTCTTTTGCACGATATTTTCTCATTCTGGTCAACACTGGGACCAGACTGTGGCGGTGGGGGGGTGGGGCTCTTCAGACACAGATGGTTTTTATTTAACAGGAGACAAGTGGTTTCTACTCAACATTATTTACAACATCCCATTGGAACATTTTTCACTGTTTCATTCTCAAAAGCGTTACTACTTCTCATCTACAAGCTCTAACACCAGAATTCAAAATCTATTCCCATACTGCTCCACTGCCTTTCTTCAACATTACTATTCCAGCTCTGCTAGAACTGGCTGGTCTCATTTTTTTCCTCCCTGATTTCTGTGTGCAAACCTAGCCGGCCTTTCAAAGTCCAACCAAGGCGCTCCTCCTCAAAGTCTGTCCCAAACCCCACCTACAAGCTCTGCCCCCCCCCATCAAGTCCTGTCATTCTTGTTGCTTCTTCCTAAGTCTCATGGCCAGCGGTCGAAATCCACTGCACTCCTCAGTGCTGTGCAGAAGCAGTCACTGACCCAATTTGGTTCTTGTAGGACTTAGCTGCTCACATCCACAGCCCCAGTCACAGCAACATTCCTCACTGCCCCCAAGGGAGGCCAGACTTCCTGATTCCTTTGCAGACTTGCCCCTGCCTCCATGGCTCTCCTGTTTTGCCCGCCACCTGGGCGGTACCCATCAAGGCCCTGATGAAGCCCCACTTTCCCACCACCTCCTTCTAGACTCTTTGCCCAGGCATAGTTTTTACCCAATTATCCGGCGGGAATGTTTTCTTTAATGCTTCTCGAGACGAGTTCCCCCTCCTAATTTCAGTCTCTGGGGGATGCGGTTAAGAAGCCCGGGTTAGTGGCGAGCAAAAGAATCGCAAAGCCCCCGAGCCGGCGCAGGTTTACAGGCTGGAAGGCTTCGATGTGCGCGGCGGGTCGGTGCGGCCCCTAACCCAGGTGGGTGGAGAGCGCCAGACCTGCCCGGGGCGGCCCCGCGAGGCCTGTGCGCGCCCGGCCCCCGCCGCTCCGTCCCCTACCTGCAACGGATTGCGTGCGCCGCGCCGCCTGTCAGATCCCGCGCAGACACCGGCGCTCCGCCGCGTCGGGCCCCGCTCCCAGGCCGCTCCTCGCGAGACTCCGCCGACGAGCTCTCGCGGACGTGGCGGCACTTCCGGCCAAGGGCGCGGGGGGGCGGGGGCCGGCAGCTCTGCGCGTGCGCCTCGCTGCTCCCTCGCTGGGCTGGGCTTGGCGAGCCTCCGAGAGGGCGGGGTGGGTTCGCGGCTGTGAGAATTGCCCGCGGGGGAGAGGGGCGGCGTCTCTCCGCCCCCAGCCGCCCGTGAGAGTCGGGCGTGGGCCGCGACCCGCCCACCCGGCGGAGCGCGGAGGGAGGCGGGAGGAAGTGCGCGTCGCCGCCCGCGTTCTGAGTTCGGAGCGTCGGCGTTCGGTTCCCTTGTTCCTCTCCATGCCCAGGGACCGAGGCCGCGCGCCGTGGGCCGGGACTCCCTTCCCTACGGGCCCGCTGCCCGGGCTGGGTCCACCTAGGGCCTCCTCACGCGGGGCCGCTCGGGAGCCTGCGGACCCGGGATGGCTCAGGTAGCGACTCGGGCCCCCTCCGAGCCCGGCGGAAGTGAAGCTTCTTGTTTGTTTCCGTTAAAGCGCCTTCCCCTCCCCGACTCAGGCTTGCTCGGAGGCCCCTGGGCTGTTTCAGAAATGCACATTCCCCCTGCCAGCCGGTAATCGGTAACCATTTTCTCTTCCAGTCCATGTCCCCTAAATTTGACGTGTTGAGTCAAGATGAACTGCGCAAAAAGCTGTACCAGACGTTTAAGGATCGAGGCATACTGGACACGCTCAAGGTATTAGTTCTAGGCATACGTGTTCTGTGCCTTGCAAGTGGAGCCTGTAACGGGTAGTCCTCATCCAGGTGTATCCAGGTCTTGGGTTTATAAACACAGGAACGTTCACTGTGAAAATGTGTCTATCACACTATTTTCCTATATAATTCTCTTGGAATAGTTACTTCTTGGAAGTGGTTTAAGAGTTTGAGTTGTCTTAAAAGAGCACATTCAAATAATGGATTTATGGAACTGACACTAAGATCAGAGTGGGTAACTTTATAAAATGAACACATTTTAGTAAGGGTGGGTTTGTTTTCGAAATCTGGGTTACATCCTCCTGAATTAATAAGTTTTATGATACACCTGAATGAAGGATATTGCACCATATAAAAAATACTGAGTACTGCTCTGGAAGAGCAGGCCGATGAGAAATTTCTTTCTTAAAATATATTGTAAGGTATAAATAATTGAACAGCAAATATTTATTAGTACTATTTTTTTTTCTAACGACCAGAGTTATTTTACTTTTTTTTTTAAAGATTTATTTTATTTATACAAGAGCCAGGATACAGGCCAGATGTGCGAGAGGGTGAGAGGATTCACCAGAGACAAAGTGGGGAACACAACAGGTGAATCTACTGAAATACACTGCTGAGGGGAGCAGCAGGCAATACAAGAGAGGTCTGCTGTGCCATGTGGGTAGCTCCCTGGCTGGCCAGGAATTGAACTCGTGCTGCGCTGGTGCTGCAGAGGCTGCAGACAGCTCCACATTGTTGTCCTTAACCCCTTGTGCTACCAGGGAGGCCGAGTCCTTTTTTTAATATAATGTGCCTCTGGTTTGTTTTTGTTTCTCCTTTTCTCTGTTCCTGTGGTTCATGACCATCTTATCTAAGATCTAAACTGTCACTCTGTAGTCAAGGACTTAAGGTTCCTTTTTTCTAGTTTGTAACCCTGAAGGAATAGGTTTCCTTAGTCCCATTGCTAAAAACTCCTGGGCCCAAATACCTGCAGCCACTGCAGCACAGAGTTCAAGCCCCGGCCAGGGAGCTACCCACATAGCACAGCAGACCTCTCCAGTCCCGCCCACTGCTCCCCTCAGCAGTATATCTCAGTCAGCCTGTTCCCCACTCTGTCTCTGGTGAATCCTCTCACCTGCCCCCCCTCTGCTCTGGCCTGTACCACAGTTCTTGTATGCATAAATAAATAAATCTTAAAAAAATAAAAACCAACTCCCACAGGAGAGGAACCAAACCAAAGCAAATTGGTGAATGGTTTCTGTGTCACTTAAGCATGGCAGTAAAATTCATTTAAATTTTGGTGAAGACCTATGTGGATTTGTCTGGGAATTGAACCACAACTTAAAACACTGGCCCAATGAAAAACTGCTTAAAACAACTAATTTACATACAGACTTGGGAATGTTAACAGGGAAGATTCCAAGTCAGATTCTGCTTTTAAGCTAGTAGTCTCTTTTTGCCTTTGTATGATATAAAGTTAAATATAACGTATACAATGTATATGTATAATTGCAAAAAACCAGTGTCTTCAAAGCACAGCAATATTTTTTTTTTTTTTTTTTTTTTTAATAAATTTTATTGTTATATTCCCCATACAATTGCAGCCCCCCATTCTGACCCCAATCCCTCCCCTCCCACCCCCGCCCCCTAAAAGTGTCTCTGGTTCATAGTTTTTTGTTGATTTTGATTTTCACTTTCTTATAGTTATTCATTTTCCTGGTCCCTTATTTAAGTTTTCTAGATTCCTGCTATGAGTGAGACCATCCGGTATTTTTCTTTTTCTTTTTGGCTTATTTCGCTGAGCATGATCCCTTCCAGCGCCATCCATGTTGCTGCAAATTGCATGTGTTTATCTTTTTTGAATGCTGAGTAATATTCCATGGTATATATGTACCACATCTTCTTGATCCAGTCATCTATTTTTGGGCATTTGGGTTGTTTCCAAAGCTTAGCTATTGTAAACAGTGCTGCTATAAACATAGGGGTGCAGGTGTTCTTTGGAATTGATGTTTCTGTGTCCTTTGGGTAAATACCTAGGAGTGGAATTGCTGGATCATATGGAAGCTCTATGTTTAGTAGGTCCAGAAATCTCCATACAGCTTTCCACAGTGGTTGGACCAGTTTGCACTCCCACCAACAGTGCAGAAGAGTTCCTTTTTCTCCACACCCTCGCCAACATTTGTTGTTGCTAGTTTTTTTAATATGTGCCATTCTCACTGGTGTAAGATGGTATCTCATGGTAGTTTTGATTTGCATTTCCCTGATGACAAGTGATGTTGAACATTTTTTCATATGCCTGTTGGCCATTTGCATTTCCTCTTCAGAGAAGTTTCTTTTAAGCTCTTCTGCCCATTTTTTGACTGGATTATTTTCTTTGTTGTTGTTGAGTCTCATCAGCTCTTTGCAGATTTTTGTGATCAGTCCTTTATCATTAGTGTTGGGTGCAAAAATGTTCTCCCAGTTGGTGGGGTTTCTCTTTGTTTTTGTTATTGTCTCTTTTGCTGTGCAAAAGCTCTTTAATTTGATGTAGTCCCAGCTGTTTATCTTTGCCTTCACTATCACTGCTTTGGGTGATGTGTCTGTAAAGATGTCTTTGATGTGCAAATCACGTAGTGTTTCGCCTATATTTCCTTCTATATATTTTATGGTTTCAGGTCTTATGTCTAGATCTTTAATCCATTTTGAGTTGATTTTTGTGTATGGTGTGAGGTGGTGGTCAAGCTTCATTCTTTTTGCATGTAGCGACCCAGTTTTCCCAGCACCATTTATTGAACAAACTTTCTTTGCTCCAATGCATATTCTTTGCTCCTTTGTCAAAGATTAGTTGACCATAAATCTGTGGGTTTATTTCTGGATTTTCTATTCGATTCCATTGGTCTGTATGTCTGTTCTTGTTCCAATACCATGCAGTTTTGATGATTATGGCTTTGTAGTATAGTTTGAAGTCTGGGAGTCTGATGCCTCCATTCCCTTCTTTTTTTTTCAGGAGAGCTTTGGCTATTCGGGGTTTTTGGTGATTCCATATGAATTTCATCAATAATTGTTCTATTTCTTTGAAGAATGACATTGAAATTTTGATTGGAATAGCATTGAATCTGTATATTGCTTTTGGTAGGATGGCCATTTTAATAATGTTTATTCTTCCAATCCATGAGCAGGGGACGTCTCTCCATTTCTTTGTGTCTTCTTCTATTTCTTTTAACAGTGTTTTATAGTTTTCTTTGTATAGGTCCTTTACCTCTTTTGTTAGATTTATTCCCAAATATTTGATTTTTTTTGTTTCAATAACAAAAGGGATGGTCTTTTTGATTTCTTCTTCTTCAGATTTATTGTTTGTGTATAGGAAGGCTACTGACTTTTGCGAAAGCACAACAATATTATTAATGAATGCATACTTATTAACGAAGATGCTAATTGTAAATTCCTTAGAGTAAATAATAACATTTGTTCCATTTTTTTTTAATATGGGCCATTCTCACAGGGTTGCTTGATTGAGGTGGACGATTCTCTTGATATGTTGTGTATGTGGTTTGCTAGGATTTTGTTGAGGATTTTTGCATCTGTTCATCAGATACCGGTTTATAATTTTCTTTGTTTTGTATTATCTTTGTCTGATTTTGGAATCAAGGTAATTCTGGTCTAGTAGAATGTACTGGGGAGTTTGATTTTATTTGATTTTATTTTTGAAGAGTATGAGTAGGCTAAGTATTAGATCTTAATGGGTTTGGTAGAATTCACTGGGGAAGCCTTTTTTTTTTTAATTTATGCATATAAGGACTGGGGTGTAGGCTAGAGGTGGAGGGTGAGGGGATTCACCAGAGATAGAGTGAGGAGCAGAACTGGTGGATTGACTGAAATACACTGCTGAGGGGAGCAGCAGGCCAGGCTAGCCAGGGAGGTCTGCTGTGCCATGTGGGTTAGCTCCCTGGCAGTGCTGAGACTTAACCCCTAGGCCACCAGGGAGGCCTCAGGGGCATTTGTTCTTACGGAGACTTTTTAATACTCTTGCAATTTCAGCACTTGATATTGGACTGTTTAAGCATTTTATTTAATCACTGCATATTTTGGTTTGTTCCAGGATTCCTTTTATGGTTAATTTCTAGCTTTATAGCATTGTGATCTGTGAAGATATTTGATATAATTTCTATTTTCCTATATTTTGAGACTTATTTTGTGTTTTAGTATATGATCTATTCTTGAAAATGTTCCATGTGCACTTGAGAAGTATATTCCTTGTTTTCAGGATGGAAAACTCTTGTAAATATCCAGTAAACCCATCTGATCTAATACTTCATTTTTTTTTTTAATAGAGGCATGTTTTTATTTATTTGTTTTGCTTGTTTGTTTGTTTGTTTATACATGCACTGGGTACAGTCAGAAGCGCGGGAGGGTGAGAGAATTCACCAGAGCCAGAGCGGGGAGCAGAGCAGGCAGAAGGACCGAAGTACACTGCTGAGGGGAGCAGCGGGCGGCAGGAGAGGTCTGCGCACCATGTGGGACCCTCCTCCCGTGGCCGGGGAGCAGCCGGGGATTGAACCGGCGCCGCAGAGGCCGCGGGCAGCTTCGCAACCCAGCGCTCTACCGCTGCGCCACCGGGGAGGCCCCTAATACTTCATTTTTTGTTAATTTTCAGTCTGGATGATCAATCCCTTTGTGTTAATGGTGTGTTGAAGTCTCCAACAATGATTGTATTTTTGTTGACACATTCTTTTAGGTTTGTAAATTGTTGCTTTATAGAGGTGCTTCTAAGTTTGGAGCATAACTATTAATAAGACATATCTTTTTTTTTAAAGATTTATTTTTATTTATTTGTACAAGCACTGGGTACAGTCAGAAGCGCGGGAGGGTGGGAGAATTCACCAGAGCGGGGAGCAGAGCAGGCAGAAGGACCGAAGTACACTGCTGAGGGGAGCAGCGGGCGGCAGGAGAGCTCTGCGCGCCATGTGGGACCCTCCTCCGGTGGCCGGGGAGCAGCCGGGGATCGAACTGGCGCTGCAGAGGCTGCGGGGAGCTTCGCAACCCAGCACTCAACCGCTGCGCCACCTGGGAGGCCCAGACTTATATCTTCTTGATGAGTTGTTCCCTTCACCATGATTCTGTGTCTGACTACCTTTTTTAGTTGAAAGTCTAGCCTATTGGCTATGAGAATAGAAGTTCCTGATTTACTCTGAGTTATTATCATGTATGATCTTACTGCAGCTTATTACTTTTAGTTTGGTTTTTGTCTTTTGGTTTGAAATGGGTCACACAGTATTGATGACTGGAATTTTTTCACCCACATGGTTAGTCTGTATGTTTTTTATGGATGAATTCAGAATACTCACATTTAGGGTGATTACTGATATGAGCTGTTTATTTTCAGTCATTTTGTTTTTTGGTTGTTGATTGTTTCATTTTTCTGTTTCTTTTCCCCTTTGTTCCTCTCTTTCTGGAAAGCTTTCCTTAGTGTTTCTATCATTTTCTTCACTTCTCTGTCTATGGATGTCTATTCTGAATTTTTGGTTAGTGATTGCTGTGGGGGTTTTACTTAAATTCTTATTTTAGATCCTTTATGAGCTAGTGTATGCTCACTGACACTTTACTAGTTGTGTTTCTTCCTCCTCCTCAGTATTTGGAGAATAATCATAGTATTCTTGCTCTTGATACTCGTGTTAACATTGCATTGTCACTTTGCTAAGGAGTTTGTGCTTCCATTTTTCTTTTCTTGTAGAACTCCTTTTAGTATTAATTGAGCAGGTCTGGTGGTGGCAATCTCCATTAGCTTCTGTTTGAGAACCTTTATTACACCTTCATATTTATTTATTTTTTTTAAAGATTTATTTATACAAGCACTGGGTACAGTCAGAAGTGCGGGAGGGTGAGAGAATTCACCAGAGCGAGGAGCAGAACAGGCAGAGTGACGAAGTACACTGCTGAGGGGAGCAGTGGGTGGCAGGAGAGGTCTGCGCGCCATGTGGGACCCTTGCCCCGCGGCCGGGGATCGAACTGGTGCTGCAGAGGCTGCGGGCAGCTTCGCAGCCCAGCGCTCAACCGCTGTGCCACCGGGGAGGCCCTACACCTTCGTATTTGATAGTTTGACAGTGATGTATCTGGGTGTAGGTCTTTCTGCATTAAAGAATTAGGTATTCTCTCTGCTTGTTGGGCTTCCATATTTAATTCATTCTGTAGATTTGAGTAGTTCTCATTATTTTTTTGAATAGGGTCTTTATTCCTATTTCTTTTTCTTCTTCTGGGAGCCTGATCATTCTTAGGTTTCCTTTTCCAGTTGAGTCTGATAGTTCTCATAGTTTCCTCATTTTTCCTTTTTCTTGACACTCTCTCCTAAATGTGTTATTTGTTCACTTGAGTCTTCTACAGCTGAAAATTTTCCTTCTGTTATTTTATTTAAAGCACTGTTTGCATTTCATTCAGAATCTTTTTGTGATCTTTTCATATACTCAGTCGCATTAGTGAAGATCTCTCTTTGTTTCTCGATCTCCTTATGAGATTTTACATTTGTCTTTCTGCCTTTGACTTACCTTCCAGTATCTCATTTAATATTTTTAATATTATTGTTTTGAAGTCGTCATCAGATAGTTTCTCTAATTGTGTCTCCTTTATATTTGTCCCAGGACTTTGTTTTTCCATCTTGTGTTGAGATGTTCCTTGTTTCCTGGGCATGTATATGGCCTTATTTATGGTAATTTATGCACATGTATGTGGTTGGGGTGTTGGGGATTTATCCTTGCGTGTCCTCTTCTTTATCTTGGTGTGAGGTGGAGGAAGCAGGGGTTCTAGGGCTTTAATAGTCTAGGAAGTCACCTCCTCCTCTAGTTTTTCCGCTGAGGTTGTCTTCACTTTCCGCCTCCCTGTGCCTTGCGTCTGGCGGGGGCGGGTGTGGTGGTTATCTGTGAAGCTTGGGGCTCCCAGTGGGATGGGCAGTATCTGTACCTACAGGCTCACAGTCCCCCACTGTTTTAGTAACAGAGAAAATACTTCAGAAGAATCTGAAAAATACAGAAGAGCATATAGATGTTTGTGTCCTTACATGGTGAGCACTTTTCTGTGTCCTTAAAAAGTTCCTTGAGATTCTCGTTTTCAGTGGCACCAGGCTCACCTTTGGATATATGGGTAATTTATGTAGTAGTCCTGCTGGTGATGATTTAGGTCATACCCAAGACCATATGTCCGTTCATTGCGTCTCATTTGCTTAGGCTAGATTAAATGGCATTACTGCAGCAAAGGGCGTGAATGTTTTTAAGACTCTTGATGTATATACCTTCTTCTGTACTATATATTTAGAATTTAAACTATTGGTTTATTTTCCACCAGCAATTTGAGAATGTTTGAGTCACTCCAGTATTATCATCATGACACTTTTTAGACTTAAGATTGGAAAACATTAAAATGATTTTAATGTTCATCTCTTTATTAAATGAGGTTGCTTATATTTTCTGGCCATTTGTATGTTTCTTTGTGGATGGGCAGTTCATGTTCCTTACCCACCCCCGTTTTTTTTAGGGTATCTGTTTTCTTGTTAATGTATAAGAACTCTGTTAATAGAAACTACTATGTTTTTTTTTTTTTCAATTTTTATTGGCAGTACTTTATCTTGGTTTTATCTGGCTTTAAGAATACTGATGTTACATTTTTATAAGGTCTTTTTTTTTTGGTTTTATCTGGCTTGGTTTTATCTGGCTTTAAGAATACTGATGTTACATTTTTATAAGGTCTTTTTTTTTTTTGGCTGATTGGTCTAAGTTCTTCACTAAGAGTGAATATTTGCTTTTCATTTAAAAAAATTAAAAAGGCTTCATTTCCCCCAGTTAACTATTTAACCGACTTGGAATTAAGTTAGTGTGTAATGCATTAGAAAGGACACTTTCTAATGAGTTAATCGTTCTTGCATTCCTGGGAATGGCATATTTCCTTTTGCTGTGCTTTTAGATTAGATTTGATAGTGTTTATATCATCTCTCCTTACAGTTGATTGTGACCAGTTATCATTTTTTTGAGCTGTCCGTGGGGACTCTGGTCCTCAGGATAGTTCACTCTACAGCTGCAGTGTACCTTTGGGAGAAATGCTTTTCCTGCTGTATTTAGTTTTTGTTATGCCAACTTGCTCAATGGCAGGGCAGATTTTTACTGTCTTGGTCTGAGCTAAATTGTGCACTCTCAGTTGAATGTGGCCTGGGTGAATTCTAAAAAAATTACTGATTTTTTTTAGTGGCTTAATTCACATTCTGCATGGGTATTTGAGAAGAATTTATATTTATGGTTAAGTGTACAAGATCATCTGAGCGTCTATTAAATTATGTTTCCTTATTCTGTTGTTTTTTTTTTAAGATTTATTTATTTATTTATTTATACAAGCACTGGGTACAGTCAGAAGCGCGGGAAGGTGAGAGAATTCACCAGAGCCAGAGCGGGGAGCAGAGCAGGCAGAAGGACCAAGGTACACTGCTGAGGGGAGCAGTGGGCGGCAGGAGAGGTCTGCGCGCCATGTGGGACCTTCCTCCGGTGGCTGGGGAGTAGCCGGGGATCGAACCGGCGCTGCAGAGGCTGCGGGCAGCTTCGCAACCCAGCACTCAACCGCTGCGCCACAGGGGAGGCCCCTGTTTCCTTATTTTGGGCCCGTGTGGTCTGTCATTTTCCGAGAGGGAGGTGTTGGGGATTCATTAGTGTCTTCTGGTCACTTCCCCTCCCCTGCAATAATTGTCCTTTCTACCTTTGGGCCTTTGCAAACTGGGGTTCTGAATGAATTTCCCTCTTTGCAGTGTCTGCTGGAACGTTCCAGCTGTTCTAGTAAGTGCTGTAGGACGTCTATGCCAAGATGAGAGTTCATCTGTGATGTCATTTCATTCTTTTGGTACTCATTTTTGTTTCACCCTGCTTTGATCACTCAGATTTTATCTTATAGCAAAACACCTTAATCCTGTTTTTTAATTATGCTGAATCTAAATATATTCTATCGTGTGTTAAGATCTAATTGAACCACTTATGAATTTTCCTGGTGGACAATGCTGTCTTTTCTCTTGCTTTGTTATTACTGAACTTGATTAGATGAGGCAGTGCAAGTGTAATCCATCCAGTGTAGATAACCTTCTTACCCTCCTGTCCTGGTGATTACCTACTGTTCTCTGCTCCAGCCAGAGGATAAAAGGAAGGTATTAGAAGAAAGAAAGTGGTATAATAAGAATTCCACTTGTTTCTTGCTTGTATCCCAGTAATCCAAATTGAGATGTCATAGACCAAACTCCATGAATCAGGCAACGTAGTCCTAAGCCCAGCCCAATTGTATGTCTTCACCTTAAATACAACGTAGATCAGAACAAATATTCAGTAGTCTGATTAAAACACACATGAATAATAAAGCTAGGGGTGTTACCTTGAGAAAATGACCCCCTTTGAGCCTAAATTTCTTCAAATAAAATGTACTTCAGTGCCTGGAAGTGTCCATACTGTATGGGCATCTCATTAAGCCTTTCTTGGGTTTTCTTTTGATCAGTATGCCCACTAAATTGGCTTCATCCAATTTTATATCCTCCAGCAGGCCACAGGGAAGTGAGGAGGAAGTGACAGAATTCTCTCCTGGTGTTACTATCCCAATCAGAAGCTGATGAAATGGGCTTATAGGGAAGTGAAGTGCGTCTGCCCGCCAGTTCAGGCGGGAGCTGGTGAGCACAAGCTGCTTTTCCCTGGGGTTTTTCCTCCCCCAAAGTGTGCCGTGGAAGCTTCCTAACTTGTGGCCACAGATCTAGAAGAACAATTTTGGAAATAAAAGGAAGGATTCTATTCAGGTGACAAACTTGTGAAACAATTCTGAAAAATTCTCCCCTCTTGTTTCTTTTTTTGTTTCTGAGCAGATACAACTCCGAAACCAGCTAATTCATGAGTTGATGCATCCTGTGTTGAGTGGAGATTTGCAGCCCCAGTCCATTTCTGTGGAAGGGAGCGCCCTCCTAACCGGTGCTTCTAATTCTCTGGTCGCAGATCACTTACAAAGGTGTGGCTATGAGTATTCACTTTCTGTTTTCTTTCCGGAAAGCGGCTTGGCAAAAGAAAAGGTAAGGTCTTCCCTTTTCTGTTTCTCAGTTTTGTATTAATAGCTTCTTTCTCAGATAACGGTCAGGTGCTCTCGGCTAGCTTGGTCCGTTTCTTGTTCGTCTTTGATTTCACATCATAGGTAACAAAGGCTCAGTAAGTTGGCTTGTCATTCTTACCAATTCCTTGCAATCTCATTTAGTCTTTTTTTCCCCCTAAAGATGTATTTATTTATGCATACAAGAACTGGGGTACAGGCCAGAGGTGTTGGGGGTGGTGGTGTCACCAGAGACAGAGTGGGGAATACAACAGGCAGACTGACTGAAATACACTGCTGAGGGGAGCATCAGGTGAGACAGGAGAGGTCTGCTGCACCATGTGGGTAGCTCCCTGGCCGGGGATTGAACTCGTGCTGCAGTGGCTGCGGACAGCTTCATAGGTTGCATCTTAACCCCTTGTGCCACCAGGGAGGACCTCATTTAGTCTTTTGTAAAATTGTGATGTGTAGAATCTCTAAATGTTTGGAGCTAGAATTAATCTCATACTTGGTTATCTATGAAAAATATTAACTGCCATTTATATTAAATGTCTTCTGTGACCTTGGCTCCGTGCTAGTCACACTACACATATTACAGGTGTTACGGGTATTGCGGGTATTACAGATGAGGAACCAGAGTCTGGAGAGGTAAGGAGATTTGCTCAAGGTAGCAATGCAGGGCAGTAAATTGAGCTCTCTGAAGTGTGACTATGTTACAGTGGCTTCAGGTGCTTCTCTTTGTGATTACTTAAAAGAAGCGAGAAATATCTAATTTTTAAAATCTGTAGAGTTTGCTAATATTAAAACATGTTTTACCACCTTTCTAATTGTTTTAACTTTGTAAGTTTCCCTCACTATTTGAAAGCTGCACATTCTTATGTGGTATGATTTGGTGGGTTATTTTGGGGGTCTGGGAATGCTCAAAATTTTTTCATATAAATTAATGGGAACAGCACTCCCAGACCCAAAATTAAATATACCAGATTGGACCACCCTACTTTCAGATAGCGAGGGACCACCTCTATTTCTCTCTTGCATGATGACTAGATTAGTCACACTTCATTATTTTAAAGGCAATTGCAAACTCTTCCTATTTTTTTTTAGAATAAGGCTATATATATATTTTTTTTTTACAGCAGTTTAGGTTCCATAGCAAAATTGAAAGGTAAATACGGAGATTTTCCATAAGCTCCTGCCCCCCACAGTCACAGCCTTGCTCACTATCAGCATTTTCTTATGCACAATATACAGTGGTTGAACCTATGGCAATACACTATTACCTGTGGTTCATAGCTTACTCAGGGGTCACCCTTGGTGGTGTATGTTTTTACTCTTTAAATTCAGGTATAATTGTCCAGAAGCTTCATGGTCAGAAGTTTTTAAGAAAACAAGAACACTGTTGGTATTTAAATAAAATCTCTAAATATGCTGTATTTCTTCATTAGCAATCAAATTGTATTTATCAACGCTAGAAAGTTTTTTGGTTCATCAATCTTTAAGTTTCAAATTACATTTCACAGTCTTTTTATATGACTAGCAGTTATGATTAGCGGTAACTAGTCCAGTTCACACACTTGAGAACTTCTAATACACAGTGCATGGTTCTCTGTATTTTCTTGAGAGGAAAACCAATAGAAAGCAAATTATGTCAATATTCTCAGGGTAGACACAGGAAATAATACATTCTCTAGCAGAAATATATAATAAAAATACCCTGAGTAGCATAGTGAGTCAGAATGATAAAAACAAATACTGGACATTTATGTAGCAGACAATTCAATAACCTAAAACACTTTCAAAACCAGTGAATGTCAGTAAACATCCTGAGGGCTCTGAGATGAGGAGGGAGGGAGAGAAAGGGACAAGGGAACGTAGGGATGGGGGTGGGGAGAAATCTGTAAGTGGATCTTGTCTCTTGCACAGAGGCTGAGATGAGATTCAAGCAAACGTTTTTGAATTTCAAAAGGCAGGCCACCTTGGCCTGCATGGGAGATTTTGTGTATATATGTATTCATTTACTCCCTCTAGCCACCTTGGGAGATGAGAAATGAGCGTTACTCCGTCTTTACAGATGAGAATGAGGCTCGGAGAGGGTGTCACCTGCTCAGTGTCACAGAGTGGTGGAGCTGAGTTTCCAACCCGGGGCTCTGGCTTTAAAGCCACGGTCTTCCCTCCACAGTGACACACCATCTCCCACACCTTTGGCCGCCTATTGTATGTGATTGATCTGGGCAGGCCTCAAGGGGAGAGGTTGAGAAAAATAGTTTAGGTACGTTTTAGTCATTCATAGTTACAAAGTCAGTAAACATTTATCTTACGTACATTTTGAAGCCATGATACTTTAAAAAATGCATTGTAATTGACAACCCTGGAATTTACTGGTGTATTCATTGGTTTATCAGATACTTAATTGTTTGTCATCTGTAAGACATTGTTAAGCACTTGTAATTTCTGTTTGCCATACCACCTTTGATGTGAAGTACATGGAGATTGATTGCTTGATCAAGAAATATATCTTACTCATTTGAGCTCAGTGTTGTAATAAACAGTGTAAGGAAAAGCTCAAATTTTGCATTATTAGCAGTTATAACCTTATTTAATCTGAAGCATGAACCTTAATCTCATATTCAGAAACATCCTCATTTATCATGAAACATTGATAGAAAAATGTCTACTTAATTAATCCTTTTATTTTCTTAAGGTACTTACTATGCAGGATCTGTTACAACTCATTAAAATCAACCCCGCATCCAGTCTCTACAAATCACTGGTAGGATTGTTTACTTTTCATAGCCTGCTTTTTTTTGTTAATTATAACTGACTAGTTGAATAAAGGTAAAATACTTTCTTTTAACAGATTTCAAGATTTGATCAAGAAAACCAAAAAGGTAGGAGCTTTCATTTTTGTAGAGAATAGCAACATTTTTGTCACGTACTTTTTTCTATAAAAGTATGAAACTAATTATTTTTAGAAAGAGTAGGGAATTTAATAAATTAAATCATTTCATTTTCCTTGCTGACAGTACTTTACCTTTTAAATAAACAAAACAGTAAATAGAACAATTCATCCATTTTAACAAATGTAGTTTGTTTATTGTTAATACAAATCTTCTGTCAGATGTGTCCTTTGCAAATACTTTCTCCAATTCTGTAACTTGTTTTTTCATTCTCTCAACAGTCTCTTTCACAGAGTAGTAGAATGTTTAATCTTAAAGTGTAGGCAGTTTATTTTTTCTCTTGTGTATTGAGGGGTGTGTATGTGTGCATGCGTGCACGCGCGTGTGCACCGGGAGATGCTCCAGGAAGTGGAAAAGTTAAGGACCTGTGGAAAGTGCTGTGGAACAGAAGGGGCAAGAGCAGAGAAATACTTAGATGGAGGCCACATCTTTCAAGGTGATCTACTGCAGGATCACGAACATAATTCTGCAAAATGTTTACCTTTTCCACGGAGGGAGACAGGACGTGCCTTGGCATGAGCAGTAGCAGGAAGGTGTGAAGAGAGAGCAGCCTGGCTGGAAAGGGTCAAGGAGAGAGGTAGAGAAGACAAATGCAAGAAGATAAATATGAAAGAATTTATAGCTACACTAGGAAATCAAATCAGCTTTTTAAAAAGTTAAAAATCTTCAGAAGAGTCCCTTCCTTGGCTGATGCAGAAGCATCAGGGTCCTTTCAACTCTGTATTAAGAAACAACAAACTTCTAATAAAATTGATATGGTTAAAAGGATATTCCAAACATTGAGAAGGGTATAAAGTAAAAGAAAAGTAGAAATGCCTGCCCATAGTCTCTCAGCTCACGTGATGCTGATAGTGAGCATTAGTGGCGGCTTGTTCATCCCACGAGGACGAAGTTGATGAGCGTGAAAGTCTGGATCTAAGTAAGACACACACAGAAGAGGGGTCGTGCTGCCCTGTTTTGCACTGTGCTTTCTTGTCTCTCTGTAGTATTTGCATTTTATGATTTTGTTCATGTTTATTTGATAAGTAAACATTGTTTCCTGTAAACTCTTCATGCCTTGCCCCATTTTCCTGTTTTCTTACTGATTGGTAAGAATTCTTTGATCCTTCATCTCCATGTTGTTGCAAATGTTTTTTTCCAGTGTAGCATTTATCTCATTTTATTTCATGCCATATTTTTAAAGTTTTTATATTGTGGATTGATAGATACTTCTTCTTATGCTTCTACGTTTTGTATCATACCTTAAATCTTAAAAGATCTATAATGTAAAAAAAAAGGATACTGTTATAGATTGCATAAACAGTGATTGAGCAGTGGTTGAATGAAAGAAAATTGGAAACCTAAAAACACATTGTGTTTTTCAGGTTTCCTCATGCACTTTTTAAAAGAATTGGCAGAATATCACCAGACTAAAGCAAGCTGTGATGTGGAAACTCAGACAGCGCCATTTGCCGGCAAAGACACTCTTGGTAATGCTGGCCTTCTTCCATAATCTCCGCTCCCGTTTTCTTTTTGAGTGAAGGAAATGACTTGATGCGTCGTATTCTTTATTACATGTTCTTGATAGGAAGGGATGTGGCCTGCAGGTGGCAGAGGCGCTCCGTTCTTCTGGCATCTTTGCTAGAAGAGATGGGGCTGGTGCTGCTCCCTCCCCCTCAGAAGCCCCAGGGCCACACTTTCCAAATCACTTGGGGATCCCACAGCTCCCCATTCTTCCTTGGGTGTTGGACAGAACCTCTCAGTGGCTCTTTGGGGCTAGAATGTATTGGGTAGTACAGTTGCAGAGTAATTACTTTTATTTTTGTATGGTCGCATAAAGTACCTCTTTCACTACATACACAAAAAGTTTGGTTCTTTTTTCTTCTTTTTTTAGTGTGTCTACTTGAAAATATGTCAGCTTCATTGGACTTTCAATGGAACACATTTAACTGAGTTATTTTATGTATTGTATCTCTTTTCTCTATTTCATTCATTTCCGACTTATTTAGTTTTCCTTGCTTTGCTTGTTTTGGATTTAGCTTTGCTCCTCTTTTTCCTTTGATTTAAAGAGGACCTTTTGGTAATTGTGTATAGAATTTTCTTTATTAAGTTAGTCATTTACATCTATAAACTTCCCTCTACAGGCTTTAATACATCCAATAAATTTTGATATGCTGTTTTATCATTATCATTATTCTGAAAAAAAAAAAAAAAAAAGTAGATGGAAAAACATGTCTGAACTTCAATCTGCCAAAGACAAGCTACTGCTAAGATTTTACCTACTTCTGCCAGCCGCCTTCTCTGCTTACTCTTTGGGGGGTTTCAGTGCTTGCCCTGGTGGAGCTGGTGCTCCAGGCGTGTGCTCTGTGGCATGGTAGCTTCCTGTCCACAACTGGTTTGAGAGCTTTGGGTCCTCTGGAGTGAGAGCCCATCAGTAGACCTGGCTTTTGTCCCAGTTATGTCCTTAGGTAGTTCCTCAGCGCCCTGTAAGTCACGTCAACCCTGTAGGCATCTGTGCCTTTTCTGTTAAGTGGAGGAGTTGGAGCATGTGCTCTCTGACCCATTTGAAGGTCAGTGTTTGGAGTGTGTCAGTCATCTTTAACCCACAGTCTCCACCTTGGCACCTGCAGTCTGGGAAGAGATGCCAGCATTTTCTGACGTAAACTAAACTCTTGCTTCCTTTCCCCCACATTTTATGATGGACATCTAAACACACGAAAACCCCGGGACTGTTTACAGTGAGCACTGCAGGTTCCCGCAGTGACTCGCATTCTCCTTGCTCGACCGCTTAACTGTCCACCCACGAGTCTCTCAGGTTTTGCTGTTTCGAAGTAAATGGCATGCACCCCTCCCTTCCCTCCCCACGAGTGTACTCTCTGCTCTTGGACAGAGCTCTGGCCTTGTTCATCTGAGCACATTTCTCTACCCTTCTTCCCTGTGCTGTCTTTTACCAGCCGAGAAGTTTCAGCGTATTGATGATCACTTTGCAGATAGTTACCCGCAACATCAAAAGTTAGAATCTTTGGAGATGAAGCTAAATGAGTATAAAAAAGAAATAGAAAAGCAACTTCGGGCAGAAATGGTTCATAAGGTAAGCTTTGCCTCGTTGCTGTTATTAAGTGTGATATCTTTGCTTACAATCTCTTTATCTTAAGCATATGGGAAAATATCTAGAATCTTCCTTGGTGAATGTGATACTACATTGTTGTTCATATTTTCTTCTCAGTTAATGTCATTTATGCCTCCTGGTACAGTGAATGAAGTGAAGCTAAAGATGAATTAAAGTAAATATATTTAGTCAGCATTAATATTAAACCTAACCGTGGAGAGAGTGTTACTGTTTCTTTGAGATAGTTATTGGTATTTACGATTATTTGTGATCAATCGACAGTTGGCGTATTTTAAAGAAACCGAACTAGGAAAAGTTAAAATGGAAGAGAAAAGAAAATGTGAGAAGGAATTAGCTGAGTTGCGGAATGAATTTGAAAGAGCTTGTCAAGCAAAATCCGAAGCCATCATTTCTCGGGAAAAGATGTCCCTTGAGAGAATTCAAAAGCACCAGGAGGTAATATTTTAAAATCATTTAATGGAAGGATTTTTCCTGTCACTGCTCGCAGACTGGCTCAGGGTCCAGGAGCGAGAGGATCCAGGGAACCAGCCTAGGGAAGGGGCAGGGACTGGCTGGGGTCAGGAGCATAAGCGAGGGTCGGCTTTGACAAGGACACATGGCTTCCTTCCAAGACTGCTGGAAGGAGAGGACCACAGATGTGAGCGTGCATGCTGGGCTCTGAGACGCTGTCACGACCGAGCTCGCTCTGGAGCAGGTGTGAGGGCCAGGTGGCAGCTGGAGGAGAGGCTTGGAGGTGTGGCTAGTGCTTGGGGGTAAAAGAAGGGCAGCAGGCAGGACTGATAGAGCTGAGAGGGGCAGCCTGGAGTCGCTGTGGAACCCCACCGAGCGCTTATAGGTGGTCGGTCATTCTCTTCTAGCTCTTGGGAGGACTTGTAAGGTCGACCAGGGCAGAAAGGTGCTGGGAAGTAGGGCTTTATAGAGCTGAATTTGCTTAATTGGAGAAAAGCTGCCCATTTAATTAGACACGGTTGGGGCCCCGTGGTGAAGGGAACCCCAAGGGAGGGTGGGTGGCTGTCAACCTAGAGGAGCTGGGAGGCAGTAGCCGTCTCAAAGACATCACAGGCCAGGCGTGGAAGCACCGTCAGGTGGAAGAATAAGGATGGACCCACGAGGACAGATTTGCAGATGGAGGGTTCAGGTGCGGGGTGCTGCCTTGGAGGGAGTGCTGGGCCAGAGCAGCGCAGTAGGTGGCTCGGTGCCTGGAGGCGGTGGGAGGTGGGTGGGCAGGGAGTGCGCGTCCGCAGGGGCAGAGCACATGCAGCTCCTCTAGGAAAAGCGGGTTCCTTTCTCAAGGGTGAGTCTTAGACCAGACTTGGTTTGGGGCAGTTTCCAAAGCCTACCCACATGGCAGGAGGTGGTGAAAGTAGGGCCTCCTGCCAGCGACCACCCTCACGGGGACTTCTTAGTAAGGTCTGGTTACTTACACCTGGCACCCCGCTACACTTTGGGATAGCGTTTCTGGGACTTGGCCCTGTTTTAGCTATAAGAACAAATGTGGGCAGCACAGGCCTTTGAGATGAATAGATGATGTTTAGACTAGCACTTCATCTTCAGGTCAATGAGTTAGCAGACCCAAACCCCCATTGTTAACTGATATTCTCTGACAGCTGGGGAGAAGAGGGCCACCCTCCTGAGAAGCCCTGTGCCTTCATACCTGGACGCCCTCCCCTCTTCCCTGTCCTGCCGAGTCCGCTTGAGTGCCGACCCTGGGGAATCCTTCCCTGGCGCCCATGACCGGCTCATCCAGGCGCCTTCCTGCCATGAAGTCTATGTATTTTGGTTATGAAATCTTGAGTTTGTAGTGTGATTGTTTCTGTCTGACTGAATTGTGAGATTTAGTCTCTTTGTATGTCCCGCTCCTGGTGTGCAGTTTGGCACCTGACAGGTTTTCGGTAAATCTCGGGTGGAAGCGTGGCCCGTCTGCTCACTTGCTACCACTGAGTCAGAATGACCTGTGAACTGAAACTTTCAGACAACAACAAAACCGTGGGAATTCTGCTCTTTTGAAGTTGTACTGCTGAAAGCGCAGGGTTTTTGTCCCCTTGGCTGAAGAATTTACCAAATTTTTAAGTATCTGAGCGATGTTAGTTAAGTGGAATAATTAGACAGGGGATGTTAAGAGTATAGGGTAATGTGGTTTCACACACATTGGGGGAGAGTAAATTTTTGTGTAACTGAAATAGGCAAACATACTGCAAACCGGAGCCTCTTGAATGTAAAATTATTAGTCTAAATGTCTGTACTTTGTTTTCTGGAATTGAGCAAGCAGTGTATGAATTCAAATCTGCTTGATTTTCTTTAGCTTACTTGTTAAAAGTTGATGTTTTCCTCCACAGACTGAAACAAAAGAAATTTATGCTCAAAGGCAGCTTCTACTAAAAGATATAGACGTGCTAAGAGGCAGAGAAGCAGACCTGAAGCAAAGAATTGATGCTTTTGAATTGTAAGTAACGCATGTGAGTTTTGGATTTTCAGAGTGGCTGAAATTCCAAAGATACCAAATGTGTCTTTATATTTTCATGTTAGTGGCCATGTTGAGTTCTTGCTTGTCAAGGTGATAACCACCTAGCTTTAAAAGGCACAGGGCAAGAGAAACAATATTTAATTTTGAACTACTAGACATGAGGATGAAAAGCCAAATACCATCATCAGGCTACAGTAAGAGCAGGCAACTCAATGTGAGGGGTCCACAGTGGTCTGGGAAGTCCTGTGCTTGGTGTTGCTGTTCACCGACAGCTTCGCATGCAACAGTGGCTGCACCTCAAGTAGCCGGGCGCCACATCGCCCAGCTCGCCGTCAGTAAGGGCATAAGTGCCGCCACTTTGGTTGTACTGGGTGAAGTTATTTCTCGTGGTATGTGTGAGATTTACTTTTTCTTGAAGACTTATAAATGTTCTCTCCTTCACATCTTATCTGGGTTTAATTGTGAGCTCACCAGCCTGTTTGTGAACTAAGTCTTTGCCATTTGGGCTCTGTTGTGTATTGATACTTCCAGATACTTTAAGAATCTTACTTCATTAAAAAATGTGTGTCCCTCTTCATTAATGTTGTTTTCCCATTTATATGGACTCAATACATCCGATTTCTGTCTACGTTACTTTCTGGGCAATACTGGAAAAGTAGATTGACTGTGAGAGAGAAAAGAAAAAACCAGATTTGGGCGGAGGTAATTCACTCCTTTCCGCTTTTCCTATTCACTTCCCTTCTGGGCACACGCGCCAACTAGATGCTCCTTTTCTTCACTGATTAGCCAGCAGAGGGCGCTGACACATCGGGCCTTTATCCTTCGCTGGGATATTGGTCGCCAGCCCTTCTCATGGTCACCTGACCAATTACCTGTGCACCCACTTCCCTGGCTCTGGGTCGAGTTTTGTGATTGATGTGAGACCTCCTTATGAAGGTCATTCCATTCTTTGGTATTTGGAAGTTCTGTGTTTTTTCCCCTATCTTTTGCTCTATCTCTCAACGCTCACTTCAATATTCAGTGGAATATTTTACTCTATGGGCTAATCATTTTCATCCCACAGGTACAAACAGTATTCTAGAAGTAGCAAGCACTTAACTTCACCAACTTAAATTTGGTTTGTAGCTTTGTAACTAATACATTATTCTTTCTCCCCTGAATGATTATGACCATTTGTCAGCTGTAACACTTTTACACGGGCAACTTTTGTGAGAGCTCACTTTGGCCTTGACACTTTCACATTTCCCCCAGCCAGGTACCGCTATAGCTCCATCTGCTCACTCAGATTCAGCATAACTAGTTCACTGCGTAAAATAGGTGGCGGACTGCTGGCTCTTCAAGGCTCTTTCTATCACTTTCTAGTAAGGACACTCACATAAGTGTTTCAGTCTGTGGAGCTAAGAAACATGTCATTTTTCCCCCCTAAATTCATGACTTCAGATGTTGTAGTTTTCTTCTTCGCTGTATATATATTTGCTAATTGCAGGGCCCAGAGAATGCAGGAAGAAAAAAACAAGAGCGTGAATGATGCACTCAAGAGACGGGAGCTGAATATCAAGAGCCTTGAGGAGACCTATGACCAAAAGCTCAAAAATGAACTTCTAAGGTAATTGTTTGAATTTTGAAAGCAATGATGTGGTTGAATTAAGTGGATGGAATTGTGGTGACACTGATGAAGACTAACACTTTATGGCAAAACTTAGTGTTAAAAAAACACATGTTTTCATCGACACCCTGGCCTTTTCCATGAGTATTTGAATTAAGATCGTTTTAAAAGATACACAATAAAGAATAGCACCCTCTGTTTGTTCTTACTAAAACCTTCTCTAATCTTGTTGACAGCCTGTGATCTGCTTTAGTTTTTAGGGCATCTGTGACTCGCGCAGCTTGCATAGCTGATCACCTATCAGGTCTGAATTATCACTTTAAGTTATCCTTTCCTCTGGCCCACTCAGATGCTGCTAAGATGAGGATAGCTAGCGATTTATAAATTATACTGCTGAGTGCATAGTGAAGACATGATTCATTGGCTTCTCTTTATTGCCTTGCTCATAATTTATCACTGATACTCCATTACATGGTAGCTGCGAAGATTTCTTGAGGTTCTTTAAAAGAATTTTATTGAAAAAGAAGCCTTTCCCCTTTTCCATGTATCATTTCTGAAATGATGGATTTTTATCTACTGATTGCATGTCAGCTCCTCTAAGATAATAGCAAACATTAAAGTAGCCATTAAACTTGAGGGATAAGTGAGTAAGAGTGGGTGTTAATGTTACAAACCATGGGGAACATGAGCTGATTGGGGTCAGTTGCCCGGCTTTGGGTGTATGACTTTGCAGCTTTTGGAGTTTGGAGGATACTCACCCCAGGAATGCTGCTCTTTCCTTTCTCCCACCTCTGAGCCAGAAAGCCAGTTAGTAACAGCTGGTGCAGAGAAGTAAATCCCATGAAAATGTGCCTTTTGGTATCTAATCCTTATGTAATGCAGCTGGTATTGGCCCTCACTACAGTGCTCAGCCCCCGAGGGCAGAAGTTCTTTTATATTTGTTTTAATTTTATTTTTGCGTAGAAGAGCTGGGGTGTAGGCCAAAGGTGGGGAGGGAAGGTAAGAGGATTCACCAGAAACAGTGGGGAGCAGAACAGGCGGATCTACTGAAATACACTGCTGAGGGGAGCAACAGGCGAGACAGGAGAGGTCTGCTGTGCCATGTGGGTCAGCTCCCTGGCCAGGATTGAACTCAGGCCATAGTGGTGATAGCCCTGAGACTCAACCTCTAGGTCACCCAGGGAGGCTCCAGAAGTTCTTATCCTGGTTGGAGGTGGGGAGTCTTGACTGGTGGATCGGAAGTGACCAGCTGTTATTTGGAACTTTGTTGTGTTCAGTGTAAATGTAACTCAGTGGTCTCTGCTAACACGGAGAGGAACCACTGAGAAATTCTGTTGGCAGCTTCACGAAAAGGTGCTTCATTTTCTCTGATTGAGATTTGGGACCCAGCTGTTAGGATTGCAACAGGGTTTCATCAGACCTCTCACATTCAGAAGTCGGGCCTCTGGCCCTCCTGCTCAGCCAGTCTGAATTTGAGGCATTGTCATGTGCCCCTTGGTGCCCCAGTGTGTGGACAGTGACAAGGAACTCATTTTCAGTCATTCTGATTCTCAGGTATCAGCTGGAACTGAAGGAGGACTACATCAGCAGAACTAACAGTCTGATTGAGAATGAAAGGAAGAGTAAAGGTGATTCTTGGTTGGGGGTGGGGGTGTCTGTACCTTTCAGTTCTGACACAGGCTATTAACTTGCTGAGTGGGGGCTGTTCTGTGTTCTAAAAAATGTATAACTTACACCTCATTGTTCATACAAAATTACTGGTTTTGGCCTTCCTAATTTTACAAGTCTTTCACCACGTTTTTGCAAACCTGCATGTTTAACCTTTTGTATATTCACAAAGATCAGTGATTTTTATCAGCAGGATTTTATCCAAATTTATTTCAGTATACTTTGATAAATCAACCTGTGACTGTCAGGAAGGCAGCAGCAACTTAGCTGTCATCAGTACAATTACTCTTAACCGTGAGAGACTTCATTCTTGACTTTTGTGAAGTTTTATTTTAACTTCTCTGTGACCTGGTTTCTTCTCTTCTAATATAGTTTTGTTTCTGGATATCTTCACTTGACCTGTAACCTCCTAAGCTTTCATATGCATTAACTCGAGATTAGGAAAGTGGGAGAATTTTCTAGTCTTTCAGGTGTTTCACATTTCAGTATGTTCTAGGACCTTCACCTGTGTCAAGAAGTTTAACTTCCAGTGGAAATTTCAGGTGGATCCCTGCGAATAAGCCGGGGCTGGCTTCTTGATATTGACCAGCCAGGTTACCCAGCATATTGATCTTCCTTTTGTGACTGTCTTGCAGAGGCTAATATTTGTTAGGAAATAGTGCCTTTGTATCTTCAGCAAATTATTTTTTGATATATCTACGTAGACATGGTAGGTGACATGGAAGTGACAAAAGAGTTACTACAAAATCCTAAGAGGCCAAGTCTCTGTCCTTAAGGAAATTCAGATCTGTCTGCATGAGGGCCTTTTTCTCTGAGCAGATGTGGGAAGCTGGTCAGAGTATAGCAGGAAGAGGCTTACACTGAAGTAGCAGTTACAACGAACTTGTCACCACCTGTTGGGTAACAGGGCTTATTTCTTACTTGCTCACCGATGTTCTGACCCCAGCATCTGCTCTTTTAGATAATGAAATAATGGTCATTAGGTCTGGTGTACTGGCCATTGTTTTGCGTGTGTGTGTTTTTTTTTTTGTTTGGCCATAAATGATTGAATGACTTTGTATTCATTAGAAAAATGTGATTAATTGGTTGATTCTTTTAGAAAAAGCTACATATTTGCAAGAGGAGTTCGCTGCTGTTAATTCAAAAAAGGAGGAATTCAATTTATCTGTAAATCGTGTGAAGGAACTTGAGGTAATTGTTAAGCCTGGTTTTTTGAAGAAAATGTAAAACAATATATGAAATTTTAGTTTGAGCTATATATACACATCTGAAATCATCCTCTTGATATGTTTGGGCTGTTTATTATGTGACTAAGAAGGTAATTGTTGGATTTAAGTTAGTAGTTCATTTCATCTGAGTAGTTCATTTCATCTGGGTAGCACAGAAAGAGCATGTCTTCGGGGGGGAGCCTAGAGTCCTGCTTGAATCCTGCCTCCTGCCTTTACTACTTGCATGTCTTTGGCCAAGTTCTGTGACCCTCAGATTCCTTTACCATAAACTTTGAGGTATTGCGCACATCCTGTGGTGGCTGAGGGAATTGAATGAGTGAGCTGACTGATGTCAGTTTGTAGCTCAGCCCCTTCTCCCTTCCCGTCAACAGCAGGTAAAAATTCCTGTCTTACGTTACATTGGGATCTTTTGATGAAAACAAAAAGCTGTTTTTCACAGGCCACCATTACGTTCTTTCATTGGTGTGCTTGCTCTTAAAAGGACAGACGTGGAACTTTAGATACTCAAAATATAGTCTGCACATGAAATGTATTTTTGCAACTCTGTGACTGATTTGACAACTTTGTAGATTTCTGTACCCAAACATGAGCTACACTAAGAAGAGGTAAGCACCCCACAGATACCTTAGCTTTTCATATTTAAAAGAAATACTACTATAATCTGGAAAATGGGGTGATAATCTGAACCAGATAATCTGAACCAGAAGCACTTGCAGGAATCTGCTGCCCCTGCCCTGACACTAGGGCGAGAGGGGGCCTGCACTGTCGGGGTCAGCATCTCCCAGCACGGCCCAGACCTCTGTCAGGTGACCGTAAGTGAATTGTGACGCTGGGCTGCCAGCAGCCTGCCAGCTTTTACTTAAGCAGCGCCCTGAAGTCATTCAAATGCAAGTTTTCCTCTTTTACTTCCAGCTTGAGTTAGAATCTGTCAAAGACAAGTTCATGGCTCTAACAAAGCAAAACCACCTGCTGAATGAAAAGCTTGAAGAGATGAGTGACTATTCATCACTGAAGGAAGGGAAACTGGAGCTTCAGGCACAAAATAAATTACTGAAGCAACAACTGGAAGAAAGTAGAAATGAAAACGTGCACCTCCTAAACCGTTAAGTCTTTCCCCCCCCCCAATTTGCATGTTTTTATAATGTGTATTAGGTTTGCAGATGTATTTGTAACTGTGAGGAGAGCTTCAGTTGAGAAGATTTTCTAGCATTAAGATTCTCAGCATCTCATTGCATAAAAAGTACAGATCTGCCTGTTGGATGCCAGAGTCCCCTCACCCTCTGACTGCTGATGAGGTTTGGCCACTGGGGGCCCCCACAAGCAAATGGAGAGATTGAGGTTGAGGTGGTTGTTACCCTTCACTGTGGACTGGGCCGGCCCCACCCCTCTCACTGGAGCTCTGCCTCCTCCAGCTCGCTTTCCCTTTCTGGGACTCGCTCCCTCCCTGGCCTTCTTGGCCCAAGGAGTGACACAGCGGGGTCCTGACACCAGTCTGTGGAGTCACAGCCAACTGCAGCTACCCTGTGTCACTTGCCTATTATTAAAGGATCCTCCAGTGACCCAACTTGGGGACACCCTCCACTTCCTGCCTGGACCCCAGGGCACTGCTGACGCATGTGCAGGTCTTACTGACCCTTGGGGCTGTCTCCACAGGTTTTTTTTTTAAGATTGATTTATTTATGCATATAAGAACTGGGGTACAGGCCAGAGATATGGGGTGGTGGTGAGAGGATTCACCAGAGGCAGAGTGGGGAGCAGAACAGGTGGACTGAAATACACTGCTGAGGGGAGCAGCGGATGAATCAGGAGAGGTCTGCTGTGCCATCTGGGTAGCTCCCTGGCTGGAGATCGAACTCGTGAAGCATAGCTTCATAGGTTGCATCTTAACCCCTTGTGACACCAGGAAGGCCCATGTCTCCACAGGTTTTGATGGGGAGAGCTCCTTCTGTGCCTTCCCTGCATGCTTGGGGTGGACGTTCAGGTTGATGTGAGCATCTGAAAGAATGCTTTCATGCAGAATAGGGCTCTGAAGAGTAGCGAAGTTTTCCTTTAGTGCAGTCAGTTTTTTTGTTCAGGAATTTGTGAGTCAGGATTGCTGTTAGTCCATTTAATAAATAATTGTGTGCCTATAAAGAAAAGAAAGAATAGTAGAAAACCTCTTCATATGCCTTTGTTAAATGAAATGAGAGAACTTCTGTTTGGTATTGAGCAAGCTTTTTCTTTTTCTTTTAATCTTCTTAGGCCTAGCTAAGCCATCTCCTGAACTGGTAGTTTTTCAGAAAGAACTAAGGAAAGCAGAGAATGCTATAGCATATGAGCATAAGGAGTTTGAAACCCACAAACAAGCTCTGCAAAAACAGCTGCAAAGTGAAGTGAGTATGGCCAGGTGTGAGGTGCTCCCCTGGGTGTGAGGCAGTTCATGTTGTAGATGTATGGACCTGGTAGACGGCACACCAGTTTTATCCTGACGTCAGCTACATGAGGCATATCCTTTTTCATCTGAATAGTAAGAGCCAAGGGAAAGCAAAAGCACAAGGACACAAGATTTTCAAGGGCTGGTAGTGGCGACCGTGAGGGGTGTCTCTGGAGCCTCCCCTGCCGCATGCCCTGGACAAGCTCTTCTTGGAGATGAATGACAAAGAAGGTGGAAACTGTGTGTGTCATGTCTGTTATTTTATAGACACTGGGCGATAGGTGTAAAGCATCTCAGATTAGCAAAACAAGAATAAACCCGTGAAAGAACCGTTCCTTTTTTATGAAGTGAGCTGTGGTTGGTTTTATATTGATTTCTTTCTCTAACCTCTTCAGATTGAGCATTCTGTACAGCTGAAGGCCCAAATGCTAGAATACGATGCTTCTGTAAAGAGGTTGACTATGCAGGTGGCTGATTTAAAATTGCAACTGAGAGAAGCTCAGACAGGTGAGTGACATTTTTTAATATATAATGTGTGAAGCTTCTCAGGTTTGTGGAAATTAATGTTCCTTATTCACTGACTGTTTAGTAATTCTCATTTAGGGGGGAAAGCCATAGGAATATGTGTCATCTTAGAAGCAGAACTCCATGTCCATGTCAGTAACACCAACTAGGCCATCAGCTAATGTGACTTGCTTTCACAGATACGCCATATCTTGGGTGAGCCTCAAACTTCAGATAAAGGTGTGGTGGTGACACAGAAGTCCCCCAGTTCATCCTGGGCCGAGACTTTAGTATGTTACCTTGATAGTAAGACCAGGGGATTATTCAGTGGTTCTGTGTCTTCCTAGACAGATGTCCAGATCTGTGGGTGAAGCGGGGGTGGCCTTAGCAAGAAGAGTCTTGCTGCTAGAATCAGAAACTGCATTTGCATTTGGACCCAATTTTGGAAATAAGCCGTTTAGCCTGCGCTCGTTCCTTTCATGTGCTGGGGCCTCAATTTCCTCATTTGTAGTGGGGATAATAACACCTACCGTGCCGTGGTGAGCGGCCTGGGACACACAAACACCTGGGGAATGGTCACTGCTGTGGCTCTACTGCACGTCTTCACTGCAGATGCGTGTGGCCACCCTCTCCTCCTCTGGGAGAGCGTTCTGTGGCCCTGGTGCCGCCCACTGTGCCTCAGAGGCCACTTCTATGCATCACCCCTCCTCCTCCATCTCTTGTTCCCTTCCCCCCTGTGGTAGTTTCATGTTGCTCTTATTTCTGCTCTCCTGATCTTCGTTTTCACTCAACAATTCTGTTTGTCAAACTCCCATGACTGAAATCATAGTTATCTCTTGTAATGAAAACCAGTTCAAGGATGGAACCTTTTGAGCGCATGCATTGCCTGTCGCGAACCTCTCTTGAAACATCGTGGTGGAGGCATGGCAGGAGAGCAGCTGGTGTGTGGACTGACTTTGCTTTAGGAAACCGCAGCCGCTCTACACCTTGCATCCTGTTTGACCAGGCCTCAGTTGGCCTCAGTCTCCCTCTGTGAAAGGGGCAGTGAGTTCTGAGCCACAGCGTTGTTGTGACCACACCTTCTCATCCCCTTGTGGAAACGTGTGTGAGCGCTGTGGGCTTGGAGGACGGGGCACCATCTGTCGGGAGCGTGGTCGTTACTTTGCAGCCAGTTGTCTGACTTTCCATGCTGGGTGGAGCAATTGAAGATTATAATGGGTTTGTATCAGTTCAGGTCAAATTTTTAACCAGATGAGTTCAGGTCTGGTTAGGTTTTGCTACGAAATAAATTATGAATGCACTTTCAGTCCTCAGAGCTTTTTGCTCAAGGGGGCCTCCCTGGTGGCGCAAGGGGTTAAGCACCGCAGTGTGAAGCAATCCGCAGCCTCTGCAGCACGAGTTCAATCCCTGGCCAGCCAGAGAGAAACCCACACGGCACAGCAGACCTCTCCTGCCTCGCCCGCTGCTCCCTTCAGCAGTGTATTTCAGTCAGTCTGCCTGTTCTGTTCCCCGCTCTGTCCCTGGTGAATCCTCTCACCACCCCTCCAGTCTCTGGCCTGTACCCCAGCTCTTGTGTGCATAAATAAATAAATGTTGAAAAGAAAGTACATAACAGATGAAAGTGAAGAATAACCTGCGTTAGGAAGGCAGGCTGTGGAGCCACAGCTGATACAGAGAAGCTCTTGATAATGTTAATTACTGTCATTACTGCCACATCAGAAACTGCTTAATGTGCAAGTTTACTATTTCATGTAAGAAGTATTGAGTGCATCTCGGCCTCCCCTCACCCTGACACTCTCCCTTGATAACCCCCAGCCCTCGAGAATGAAGTCTACCGCAACTCCAAGCCGCCCCTCCTAGATGGCTCCGTCAGTGCATTCATGAGTAGCAAGGTGGTGCCTCATGGACATGATATAACTAGAGACTTCTTGAAAAGTTCTCTGGAACAGGAAAAGCTGATGGTGAATGCAGTCTCGTCAAAGAGTACAAGTTACCCCAATGCCAGCACAGAGGGCTCTTCCCCTGCTTCGGACCTGGAGTTCGTCGTCAACACCAAGGCTAAGGTGAAAGCACTCGACCAGGAGGCTGAGCGGTTAGGGAAGGCTTTCCAAAATTACCGTCAGAGAATCAGTCAACAACCCACCAGTAGCCCAGCAGCAGCCAAAAGCCCGTCACCCCTGCAGTTGCTGAGAACTCTCAAGAACATGGCTTCAAGTTCTCCCGAAAGATGTATTTTTGCAGAGGGCAGGGTGGTCTGTGAGCTGCCTCCAGAGGGCACGGAGGGCGTGCTTGGAGGGGACAAGAGCATGGCATCTGAAGCGCTGATGGGAAGCACGGCCTCACCACCCAGAAGTGCCTCCTCCAGACGCCTCTCCTCCACTCCCCTCCCAAAGGCCAAGAGGAGCCTTGATGGCGACATGTATCCAGAAGGTGAGCCGCTGCAGAAAGGGTGGTGGGGTGCCCGGGCCAAGGGTGGATCTGGTCCTCTGGCCTGAGTCCGTGCTACCCCTGGACAACAGGAAGTGGTGGGCCAGGCCTGGGAAGGCCTAGCCCCTGCATAGTCTCTCAGGGTAGGCATAGCGGAGGGGAGGAGGGAAGCATGGGGTGGTGTCAAGTTCCAGCATTTGGCAGGGCACTCAGAGGCGTGTTCAGAGAGCAACGTGGATTTCTTTACTGCTGAACAGTTTTCTGTATTTTGGTGCTGTCACAGCAGTTTCACTAGGTGCTCGGACTATTCATTTTGTGGCTCTTTTATCCATCCTACTCCGCTATTTGTAAGGATAATAGAATTTATCTTCAAAGTAATAGACCCCTTTAGAAACCATGTTGCTGTCCTCTGCATGTCATTGCTAATGTTCTTGCCCTGGTTCCTTGTTCCCTTTAGTTCTGGTCCAATCCCATGTTGCTTCCCCTACTCCTGGTCCCGACAGGACGTCCCCGCCATCACCAGCTGACTCCAGGCACAGCCCCTCCATCCACCTGCTGTCTAGTGCTCTGGAGCTGAAGGCCAGGTAAACACAGTGCAGCACAGCCTGTGCTGAGTCTTGTTCGCTATGTGGGCAATACCTGTTGGGTAGTCTCAGGGGACATTAAAAACCATGTGGCAGTAAAGAATTTGCAGTCAGATTGGAGGATTGCATGGGAATTTTGAGAATCATCTGAATTATCTGGGGAAAAAGATTCTTTTTAGCAAATAAGTAATTCCTATGTTTGCTGAAGTGGACATACAGAAATATGCACTATGGAATTAATGGGCATCTTTATAGTTCATGAGGAGGCTTGGTTTATAAAAAGAAAACACCCAACTTGTAAAGTCTATGAAAGCACGTTTTTGTAAAAGCATGTAAATTTCAGTTTAAACCTGAAATAGTTTCATGTTGGTAAAAAGTCAATTGAAGACATTTTGGTACTTAAATACAATAAATAAGGCTCCAATCTATATGTCACAGAAATGAATTTTGAAGGGGTGGGAGGATTTCGAGTGTGATTGCTGAAGCAGGGTGGATGGATGTGTGTAGACGCTCGACTCTGGGTCTCCCGGGCCGGGATTCCAGTCACGCATGAAAGTCGGCCTGGGCCTGGTCCCCGTGGTGGAAGATTCTGACTCCTCACTTCCTGGGCTAGAGCCTGGATTGGAGCAAGGTGCTTCTGGTCTGCTGTACAGAGGCGAGAACTGCCGCCTGTGCCCCTCATGCTGTGAGAGGGAGACGTGCTGTGTTTGGATCGCCCTTCCTTGTGGCGGAGCACAAGGAAAGCAGGTGTGCAGTGCCGAGTTCGGGCACTGTAACACCAGGGCCGGCGCTGCTGCCGGGGTGCAGCACTGGTTTTGTTCAGAGATGTTTCTGGGTCTTAAAAATCAGCTCCCAGCACTAGCTTTGAGAGTACAACGTTACTCTTTGTTGACTAAGGAGGGGAGGGCCTGCTTAGCACCGTGTGGTTAGGGGGAGCAGTGGCTGGGGCAAGTGCTCCCCTCACCCATATCCATAGCTGGGGCGGTGAGTGCCTCTGGCATGACAGGGCTCTTTTTCTCTGAGCCAAAGGAAAATTAATTTTCTGAAGCATTTTTTCAAATCATTACCCTATGCTCTTGGGTTTTACTTTTTTTTTTTTTTGAGGTACCATTGGCTTACATTACTGAGAGTTTAACTTTATTACCTTCACATTCGTGAATTTTATTCTTCCATTCCAGTCTTTACCAAAGACAAACTGAACTTCAAGACAAAAGTGAAATTTCAAATCCAGACAAGTCGACTTTTAAGGACAATGAGGAATTTGAATTGTCTTTTGACTGTAAGTTCAAATATAAGTACTGATTTTTATAGTTGCTAATGTAGAAAGCTTAGTTTTCATGAAACAGCCATTATAAAAACCAAAGCATTATAAATTGGGACATTTGTATTTCGCTATAAAACCACAGACACACAAGTTGCCTTATTTTTATATCAAATATTTTCAGAGTTGTGTCTGAATTTTTGTTTAAAAATTTTCGAGATAAGTGATCATTTGAAAGTCGCAGCTAAGTTAAGCACATAGTGATTCCTTAACTTCATTTACCAAGTTTGGAATTGCCTCACATTTAAAGTGATGTTTTTCTTTTTTTTTTTTTCCCTCTTTGTGGGATATGAAGATGGTGAGCTTTTTGTTCTTTAAGTTACACCGGTTCTATTGGCTGTCTCAGGTGTAGAAAGCCCACTCTTCCTGGAAGAGTGGCAGTGACTCAACATCAGCTGAGTCTAGAGGCTGATCCCCGGGCTATGGACCCTTCTCGGAGTGGTCACCTTGGAGCCACTTCCATGTACAATCGAGGTGGAAAGTCCATCTGAGGTTCTTCCAGCTTGAGAAGTCCTTTTATTTGTATTCAACCGGCCGTTTAGCCTGGTGATCTTCATCACCAAGTCCAAAAGTACAACCTTTTGAACAGTTAAATGAGAGACTTTATAAATTCTTAGTAACTAACTTAAACTATTGATATTTAAATAGAAATCAAATGATTATCACCGGCCAGGTGAATTCTTCTGTCACTGAATTTTTCCTATTGGGTAGCAAATCTAATTTTGAAAACCTAATTCTTTGAAGTGTAAGAACATTCTATCAAGTACAAGCACATATCGGCGAGCAGCTGCATTGTTTGCTATAGGGAAGGACTGGCCTAGTTGCTTTGGCTGAAACTGAAGTGTCCCGCGATAAGTCACGCCCACAGGGGAGCACACTTCTGTCTGGCTGCTAGGGTTGGGGACTCACGGGCCACTGCTTGTTCCTTGTGCAGATGCAGGGAGCGTGCCAAGGCAGTTTGAGGTGGATAGGCTCCACCCTGCTGGGGACATGCCTCACATGGATGCTGCCCCTGTCGCTGCCGCCGCCGCCACCGCCATGCCTACCTCCTGTCACTATGCAAGTAAGTTTGTCTTTAATAAATAGCATGGCCACCTGCTGAACGCCAGTTTGTGTGTGTGCTCTGTCAATCATTTCATGTGTCATTGATGGACTTACTGTAAGTGTAGATTATTCGAAGGCTTGGTTGGGGTGTTGTCATCCTTAGAGACACTTCCTGAAGTAACTCTCAATTTGAACATGTAAAGACAGTGCTGAGGTAAAAACTCTGTGAAAGAAAGGTTTGTCATTTCATTTTTCTGTACCATTTGCTTTAAAAGGTGTTTCTTTAGTTGCCTAGAGTCTGACAGAACAGTGACCTTTTGCTCAAGATACTTCTGTAAAAGTCACTCCAGAGAACCTTAGCATCTTGAGAGGTCATGGTGGAAAATGGAAATTATAGCTGATACCCACTGTACAACTTTAACATGTTGTGACAGTGTACACTTGTTTTTTTTTCTGTCTCTTTGCTTCCTTTGGATCAAAACATTAGCACAGGAAAACCTTTATATTTCAGTTTGTTTTTTTTTTAAAGATTTATTTATTTATACAAGCACTGGGTACAGTCAGAAGTGCGGGAGGGTGAGAGAATTCACCAGAGTCAGAGCAGAGAGCAGAGCAGGCAGACTGATGAAGTACACTGCTGAGAGGAGCAGCGGGCGGCAGGAGAGGTCTGCGCGCCATGTGGGACCCTCACCGGCGGCTGGGGATCGAACCGGTGCTGCAGAGGCTGCGGGCAGCTTCGCAACCCAGCGCTCAACCGCTGCGCCACCGGGGAAGCCGTTCAGTTTTTTTGCTTTAAAGATTTATTTATGGGGCCTCCCTGGTGGCGCAGCGGTTGAGCGCTGGGTTGTGAAACTGCCTGCAGCCTCTGCAGCGCTGGTTCGCTCCCCAGCTGCTCCCTGGCCACTGGAGGAGGGTCCCAGATGGCGCGCAGACCTCTCCTGCCGCCCGCTGCTCCCCTCAGCAGTGTACCTCGGTCCTTCTGCCTGCTCTGCTCCCCACTCTGGCTCTGGTGAATTCTCTCACCCTCCTGCGCTTCTGACTGTACCCAGTGCTTGTATAAATAAATAAATAAAAATAAATCTTAAAAAAAAAAAGATTGACTTATTTATGCATACAAGAACCGGTGTAGGCCAGAGGTGTTGGGGGGTGACAAGATTCACCAGAGACAGAGCAGGGAACAGAACAGGCAGACCGACTGAGATACACTGCTGAGGGAAGCAGCGGGCGAGGCAGGAGAGGTCTGCTACGCCATGTGCGTTGCTCCCTGGCTGGCTGGGGATGGAATTCATGCTGCAGAGGCTGCAGATAGCTTCACAGTGCTGTGCTTAGCAACTTGTGCCACCAGGGAAGCCCTATATTTCAGGTTTGTTTGTTTTTTAAGACACTGGAGGAAACTGATCTTCAGACTTCTCTTCACTGGCCTGCTTTCTCTTTCCTCTTACCTTCTTCAGATAACCCACTTCCAATGTGGAGGAAGGGAGGGGAGCTGTAGGGGGATTTGAGCCTCATTCCAGGGCTCTGCCAACAGCCAGGTCCTTTTCTGCTTGGGCCATAGTGTTTATTCCTCCAAGTTGGAAGGAAATTCCTCAAGTAAAAGTGCCGCTAGTCCCTCCTAGACATCAGGAAAACGTTCTCTGCAAAGCCTCTTGTGGGCAGTTTCTTGGTTTAAGTCATAGGACCCAAGAATATGAAGAATTGCTAAAAGAAACTAGAGGTTTTGCTGATTCCAGAGTAAATCTGCTTTGAAAAGCAGTAAGACTTGGCCAAGAGGCTTTTCTGTGCTTGTTGGCACTTTCCTGAGCTGGGCTTACCTCATTGAGCCAACCTGATCCCCAGTGGGGACAGGGATTGGCCGGGGAGGGGGTGGGGTGCACAGTGGCTGCCTGCATCTGGTAGCAGTCATTTGGCAGAGACCGAGTAAGTAGGGGGTAAAGATACATCATCGAATAAGGAAAGCCAGTGGAGCAGATAGTAGATTGTAATAATGGCTTTCAAAATAATTCCTAAATAGTATTTCATGTTTTGACCATAGAGAAATTCTCTTATAGTCATCTTTTGACTTCATCATCTGGGTACAAAGGGAAATAAGAGGCCAAAACTGGCTCTGTTTGAGGTACCCAGTGGAAATGCTGCTTTCGTTTTTGCTCTGACATACAAAGAGGTTTCTGCCTGCTGTTCTGCAGCTACAGTAGAGCCCACAGCGAGGAAGCAGCCCTTTCTCCTTGATTTTCCAGAATTGGGCTCTGTTTGAGAGTGCGGCCATGCACGGCAGCGACGGCATTCAGGAGGAAACCTTCCCCACAGCAGCGAAGGGGTTGCGTTTCTGCCTGTGGTAATGAGCAGCTGCCTCTGCTTGGTATTTGAATTTCGTGACCAGGATCAGGAGCCACAGAGAATAAAGGGAACTGTGTGGCCTGTTAGGGAAATGAACTTGGTGCCTGCTAGTGACTTAGACCAGGGCACAGCAGAAAATCCCCTGGTGAACCTGTGGGTTTACCTCCAGCATTGCTCAAGGGGAGAAAGACGAGGTTCTGGGCCACAGCTGGAAGAGAAGGGTCAGCAAGCACACTTGTGGGAGTGAGGTTAGTCCAGCCTGTGGGAACCACTTGTGCCCAGGGCTGTGGGGACTAGAGAGAAACTCACCGTGTGGGCCTTTCCCGGGACCCACTGCAGTAGGAAGAAGCCAAAGGCGCTTTGGCGCGGCAGACACACAATGCCGTGCAGTCCAGTGCTGGGGAGGGCCCCGCCATGTTAGGAGTGAGGAGGACCACAGAGCAGTGGCATTTACGTTTAGTCAGTTGGGTTGGAGGGGGGACAGGCATGCATGGCTTCTGGAGACAGTGAAAGCAAGGCCCAGAGTAAGGAAACCCAGCCGTGTTCAGGTACTCGCCAGTGTGTCGGGATGGACGCTCGTGACGCAGAGGTGAGGGTGATGTCAGGAGTCAGCCTGAGGAGAAGGCTGCTGGCCGGAGCCTGGGCTGCATGGGTCTGCTCCCTCCCAGGGCAGAGCCAGCGCTCAACAAGACCAGGTCTTCTCTGAGCCAACAAGTGGTGCTGAGGCAGGCAGGTGAGGGAGGCGGGTTGCTTGAAGGCAGAGACTGACATGGGGTGGGGCCTGGGAGGGGCGTGGACAAAGAGGAGGTGAGTGTGGCTGCAGGTAAGCGGTCACCGGGAGCCGAACCGCAATGGTGCAGCCCAGCAGCACACGGCAGCAGAGCAGGAGGAGGAGGAGGCCCCAGGGGCCAAGAGCACACAGTGTAGAGAGCTTGATGACAGGGAGGGAAGTGAGGACTGCAGGTAGGAAGCCGGTGCGTGGGATTTCCATGTTTTGGTGGCGGGGAACTCATTAGGTACACATTAGAAGTGGGGGAGAGATCAGGGCCCGAGAAAAAGACGTGGGCATGATCAGGAAGGAGGCCAAGCTAAAATCCTAGCCAGGGAGCAGCCTGGAGGGCGTGGGGAGGAGCTGGAGGATGGCAGGGGCCACGGCGAAGGGCAGGAGAGCCTAGCGCGCCTTTGCGGGGAAGAGTTCTGAATCTGTGTGAAGAAAGGGAGACCACTGGTTAAGTGACCGTTCTTGAGACAGGGAGAGATCAGGCTCAAAAGCAGAGGCAGAAATGCAGGGCTTGCCCTGGTAAGGATGCAGGGGGAGGAGACAGGAGGATGAGAGCGTGGCCTGGAGGAAGGGGGTGGAGGTGCTTGCGCTGAGGGGGCTTGCATGCATCTCAGTAATGTAACCGCGGCTCGGAGTGGGAATGGGAGCTGGGGGGCGGGGGAGTTGGACCAGCCGCTCAGCGCAGACCAGCAGTCGGCTAAGTATCCAGCAGCCTCCTTGAGCCTTGCCAAGGCCCCCTGCAAAACTGGTCCCATGCGCCTCTGAAAAGTCTCACTGGAAGCGATTCGTTCTTTATTTCCTGCCTTATTAGACACAGACGAGAAACAAGTTGAGGAGCAGGAGGAAGACAGCATATGGAAACAGAAAGCGGAGGAACGAAGGCAGAGAGAAGAAAAATGGCATAGTGAACGACAAGAAGCTCTAGAAAGGGAACGAAGAGAACTAGAAAAACTGGATCAAGAACGGGTAATATGAACAAGTCAAGCGAAGTCTCAGTACTGGTTTCTCCACCCTCGCTGTCGGGGAGGAGGCATCCTTAGTGTGTACTGAAGCCATAGGAGCAGTAGCTAACTTTTAAACGCTTCCTGTAGCATCTTGAGCCTCTTTTTCTAAGAACCCTGAGGAAGGCCTCGAGGGAAGACCGTCCGTGTGGCCTGTCAGCGCGCATTCCCCTCGGCGCCTGGAAAAGCCCGGGAAGGAGTGGGCTGTGCTGGGCTCTAGGTCTTCCCTTTGTGAATGAGCCATAACACAGAGGCTCCAAGGTCCCCACGCTGGGACTAGAGAACCCAGGGTGGCTCCCGTTGGCCCCCTGCCCTCTGGGGCCCCTCCAGCCTTCTCTGACTTGCTCCTGCGCCCAGGCAGGTGCTCACACTGCACTTCCCCTGCCTCAGTGTCCCTGGTCAGTGAGCCTTCCACGGGCATGTTCCCCGCGCTCCTGGCTAGGGGGCGGCTGAAGCTCCTCACTGGGTGGGGGACCCCTTCCTTGAGATGATGGGGCCGCTTGCCTCCGCCAGCAGCAGTGGCTGCCATTTCAGATGAACGCAGCGCTCCTGGCGTGAGGCTCGCGCTGGAAGGATGTGAATTAGGTTACCATGTGTTTTGCACACTCTTGAAAGGTTTTAAAAATGTATTTGTGTGTCTCCTACTTTGGTGCTTACCTTTTTCATAGAGGATGATTGAAGAGTCCTTGAAGATTGAAATGGAAAAGGAATTAGAAGTGAAAGAGAAATCTGCTTGCAGTGAAAACCCTCTAGAGAAATACATGAAAATCATCCAGCAGGGCCAGGACCAGGCGGCGGCGGACCAGGTGGCACGGCGGGGCACGGGCTATCCGGGGGTGGGGGGTGCGAGGGCAGTGTGGTGTATTTGAGAACCTTGGGACAGAAATCTGGCTTCTCCATTTGAGACAAAATGATAAAAGTATAGAAAATCCAGAGTTCAGATGGAGCCTTGAATCATTTAATTCTATTAAACTGCTGCTGAAATGTCATCACTTTTCTGGGGTAAAAGATTGAAGAGATTTTGATAGGTTGTAAAAGTTGGGGTGACTGTTTGAAGAATAAGAGAGATGGACTGAAGCATGCCTGTCAGTGAGTAATGAATGCATCGGTCCAGTCAAACGTTACTGTTTTTATCCAAGTCTGGGGCGCTGTGGGTGTCGAGACTGCGCGCTGGCTCGCTTATTTTCATGCTCTTGCTGCGTTTCATGGACTTCTTAACTTACAAATATGTTTCAAAAGTAGTTCTCAGAAAACCTAGAAATCGTTTGATAGGATTCATCTATCTCATTTCAAAGCCCTCCTTTCCCCCTTCGTCTCAGAACTCGAGGAAGGCGGCCCAGGACCTCTCCCAAGCGGACACGCTGCCATCTAGCGAGAAGGACGGGAGGTATGGCCCCCCCAGCCCTGTGCTCTTGGCAGAGGGGTGTCCCGGGGCTGGTGGTGTCTCAGCCAGGGTTGATGGCCAGCTCTTGAGGGTCGTCTGCAAGAAACTATTGACTCCAAGTTACTGATTTCAAAAGAGTTGTTTTTTAACGTATGAAATTGCTTCTGATACAAACTGTAAGCAAGGGCAAAACCCCCCAGGGAAGGAATGAAATTTTGTAGAGTTCCCTGAATAAACTTGCAAGAACTCACACTTTTTTTTTTTTTTTTTCAACTTACAAAATGTTTGAATGTGTCTTTCCCTAACTAGTGTCACGGGATTTTCTCAAGAGGAAGCAGATGACTTTTGGTGACCGTGGGTGCCCCCAGCTTCACGTAACGTAACCACAGGGCTGTGTGCTCTCTGCAGTAAGACAAAGTGCTCAATAAAAATTTTATGTAACCAATGTGGTTTGGTTTCATAATTTTAGTTGTGTTATAGTGTATAAATCAAAAATAGTCTCCATGGGTCACAGCTCGGCATTTCTCATTCAGCCTTTCAGTAGGCTAGTAGGCTAGAATGAGCTGGGCCTTTTTTTTTTTTGGTCCATTTTTGTCTGAAAACTCACTGTTTTGGTCATATTCCATTTTGTAAGTTGTCAAACAGGCAGGAGGCAGTCTTCTGGAATACTCTCCTGATTGCTCCCTCAACATAAAGATGCAGGCTTTTCCATTCTAGCTCTAAGGATGGTTCAGTGTTGCCTCTGTTCTTACTTTGGACATCTTTTTCTTGAGGAACAACCAAACTCTTCTGAGATGGTGATGAAGAGAAAAGGTAGAATTTAATGAGCTCTTACTCTGTGCCAGGTATAATTGTAAACCTTCATCTGTGTTAACTCACTTAATGGTCTTACCAGCCGTGTGAAATGTAGGTACTGTGACATTTTCAAATACAGCACAGAAGCCCTCGCACCCGCACCTACAGACAGCCTGTCCCTAGCCTTGGCACCTGATGGGCCATCTCCTGCTCTCCATCCTGCTGGATGATTTTTCACTGTAACGCGAGGTCCAGAGTTTAATGGCCTGACTGAGGTCTCGTGGCCATCAAGTGCCAGGTGTGGAGACCAGCACTGCCTCTGGCCTGACTAGTCTGGAGCAGCTGCGGTGGAGGACAACACGGGACCTGTACGGGTCATCCTCTGAACTCAAGTGCAGCACCAGCGTGACTTCCTGAAGAGACTTAGTTCTCGCTCCTGTCTCCCTTGCACGCTGCCTCTCCCAGTCCAGTATCTGGCCCGGGGACACGTCCTGGAAGAGTTCCGTAATGACCTGCCAGTGTGGTCACCAGAGCCCGAGCAGAGGACCGCTCCGAGGGTAACAACCATCCTTTTTGGCACTTTGAAGTATCTTCTCCTTATTGAAATTCTCTCAACATAGCGTGCGCCTGACCTCAGCAAGCATCTGTGTGATTGCTACTGTGACCTCTATCAGGTGATTGGCTTCATTAAGGTCTGTTTGTGCAGTTTTATCTTACTCTCTTACTGGGGACATATCCCACTGTTCATTTTCCTTGACTTGCTATTTCTGTGCATCTAGGACAGCTGCCTCCATGTTGACAAGGTGCTCTTGTGTAGGAGATGAACCTACAGTCAGCATGTCCCAAGGGCTTGTTGCCTCTCAAACCTTTGTGACTTTTTAGGCTGCCTCCTTGGCGCTTCCCAGCAGCCGAGGGCGCGTCGGCACCATGACGCAGGTGACTGGAATCCAGACCCTCAGACAACAGCTGGGAAAGTCTGTTCTTACCCCTCCTTGGGACAGACACGGAGATCGGCGATTTGCCGCCTCCCTCTGTGCTCAACCAGTTATATGGCTGTGGAGGGTGCTCCTGTGGATACTAAATTCTTCATTTGCTAGCCCTGCAGACTAGAGACTGTAATCCCTGTCAGCACCAGGTGACCTTGGGTGGCAGCCACAAAAGCTGGTGTGCCAGGTGTGTGTACAAGCTTCTTCCAGGGAGAGGCTCCCAGGCTGACCTGGCCTTCTGGGATGATCTCAGCCCTAGAGTCATGGTAAACTAGAAGCTTAACCCCAGGAAGCAGCTTTTAAAGTCTGCAAAATACCCCTTTCAGGGAAAGACTGGGAGCTGGGGCTGTTCCCTCTGCTCCGAGCCCTAGGAGAATGGCTTTTCAGAACTGCCTTTGTGTGCACTGGGCTGGGGACTCGGGAAGGCAAGCCTGCTGGCTGCATGCCAGGCTGTCTGCGGACTGTCCCTCAGGCCGCAGTTGTGAAAGCTGGGGTGCAGACCTGTGTATGGCTCCTTCCTGGGAGATGCTGGGGATTTGGACTGGACTAGAGGGGTGATTTGGACTGGAGGCAGTGTAAACGCTGGCCTCGCCAGTCTGAGGGTGGCAGTGAGCCACAGATGTGTGCTAAATTAGAAGTCTGACTTTCTGGCAGCACTTTTTAATGTATGCCAATAGGCCCTTTTTGGTGAAAGACGAACTTAATGAGTCCTGTAGAGCAGCTTAAGAGCTGTTTGGTAGAGCTTTGTGGGTGTTGTGGATTCAAGGCCTGTTGGCTTTAAGAGCTGGGTGTTGGGAGGCCCACCTCCAGGAGGGATTCTTAAAAGTTGAGGTACTAGATATGGGATCCAAATCTTTTATTCTCCAGGGGGAACATGGGATGTGGGCATGCCCTCCCCAGTGGTACGGCATCGTGCAGCAGGTGAGGGCTAGGGCCAGCGCGTCTCTCTTCGTACTGTTTCTTGCTTGTCTTCTACATAATAGCTCAGCTAGCTTTGGGTCTCTTTCAGAGGGAATTACTCCGTGTGGAATGGTACGTTTGGGTGTGTCCATAGGAGGAGGGGATTGCAAGAGCCCATGTCGCCATCTTGGACCAGAACCCCCAGGTAATATCTTAACACTTTCTAGTACAAGGTAGGTAGATACAAGGCTTTTGTATTTCCAAAAGCCTGTCTTTCTTAATTCATTGTATACTTCATTTTCCACCTTGGGATTTGATAGCTTCATTCATTCATTTTTCCAGGCAACATTACTTCCTATAGTCTTAATACTCCACATCCTGGCAGAGTTCATTTAAGAGGAAGTCCTTTTATGTAGCACTTGGGATGGCAGCGTCATCGAGAATGCCTTGTGCGCAGACGCGGAAGCCAGCCGGCCCGGAGGATCTCGTGCTCCCACCTCCACAGGACTCCGTGGGCCGGCAAGCGTCAGTCTTCCCCAGGTGGGTCCTGGGCACAGTAACAAGTAAATATCAGAATGGTGAGAAAGATTGGGGGCAGTTGGGAAAAAGAATATTCTTTGCCAGACCAGTCTTAGCTCTTTTTGTGTTCTTCTTTCTGCAAAACTTTCCATACTTTTATTGATCCGAATACTCATTAGCTAAGTTAGCCTAATACTTTTTCCACAAACATCTGAAGAAAATTTAGCCCTGTACTAGCTGAAGATGCCACATTTAGGAAAGGATACTAACAAAGTAGATTGCCTCTTTTAAATCTTATCAGTTTTTTTGTACTGTGGAATCTTTGGTCCTCATTGTTAATGGACCTGAAAGTATTTTACTTGGTGATTTTTAAATAGATAGGTAGGTCCCTCTCTCATAATTTTGACTTTAAAAGCCAAGAGTTGGCAGGTCTAACTGGAGAAATGGAAAGCTCGCTGTCCCACCCTCTAGAGGCCCCTTCCCTTGGTGGCAGGGCCACGGTCACAAGCTTGCATGTGATCTTACCTAGGCGTGCTTCACGCACTGCTTGCTCAGGTGATTCGTGTGATTTCAGAAATAGGTGCACAGAGTGCTATGTAAACAGAAGGTATTAGGCAGTGTGAACAAATGCCATGCTAATGGGATTGAGGGCTGATTGCTCCCCTGCCAGGTGTGCGTGAGGCCTGTGATCCTCATTCAGCTGGATGCTCCACAGTGACAGAAGCTGGCCGTGACCGTGGAAGCTCACTACAGAGCGCCACATGCTGACAGGTAAGTAGCTCAAACATTACAAAATGAAATCCTACCTAACAAATTCCTGCTGCATTTGAGAATAACTACTAGTGCTACATATTTTGTTAACATTCCTGACTTTATCTTTCTTTGGGCTTGTTAATAGCCACTGGCATAGATTTGTCACTTTTGATTTGCCCCAAACTTAAGCACTGAATTAATCCCATGGGTATGTTGCTTTTATTTGTGGAAGCTGGTCAGAACTTGTATACTTTTCACAAAGAACTATGAAGTGTTATGGCATTTTGTGTAAAGTATAGCCCAGTGGAGTACAATATTTTCTCGAATTGTTCTTGCTTAAAATACATTTGTCAGCACTCAGACTTGATTTCCATACAAATATGTAACCATAAGTAGACATTTAAAAATGACACCATACTGAGGACAGAGAAAGATAGTATTTATGTATGGTAAGAAGGCAAGTGAATGAAGCTATAATTTTATTTCATTACTCTTAGTACATCCACAACTGTTTCCACCTAAATAGATCTTTAAAATAAGCATACACAAGTATTGACTATTATCTACAAATATTTATTGTAACACTTGAATAGAACTACAGGAAGCCCTTGGCACTGATAGAAAATATTGATTCACTGTTAGGTTACAAAAATTTATACATAGCAAAATTTAATGCTCTTTACATAAAAAATATTAGACTACTTAAACAAAACTCTCAGAAATTCTTGGTAATAGCTACCAGAATTAGAAAAGTAAAATTAGGCTTAAGACACTGCCTCTTCTAGAACACTGGACTCTAACAGCACCTCCACTGCTGGAAAAAATATTTGTCAGTCATGCAACAGGAAAATAAAACACCAAGCTAAATCTGGAACAACTGTTCTACATAGAAGAGCTTCTCCCAATTAAAAAAAAAAGTCAAGATCCAAATAGGCATTTTTAGGCATTAACAACAAAAAGAATCCAAATGAAATATTATACTTGATGTTCGATTTTAATAGCATCTTGATAAAGGTATGCTTCCTTTCATTTTAATACATTTCAGCACATGTATATGTTTTAAAATCCAGGAAACAGCCAAACCACAAGTTATTTCTTAACATGAATATACATAGTTAATCCTATATTATGCAGCCCCTTTTAAAAAGCACTGATGCACCCAACAGTTATATGTATCATTTCATAAAGAACACAAAGTTTACCATCACTAATACCCAATACCTATAGTCACTTAATGCTGTGAAACACAATGATTTAGAAGGCAAGTTTCATTTGAAAATGGCTTCAACTCAAGCAGGTTTTTTTTTTTTTTTGCTGAACATTGAACTTTATTATCCCAAGGAAACTAAGATTTAGATAAAAGTGAAATAAATACCAACTAAGTATTCAAGTCTATAAAAGTAGGAGGTTTGTGGTCTGTTTGTAATTGGGTTTTTAGATGGTTGGTATGAAACTGTAAACTCGCTTATTCAGACCATGTAAAAATAGTTTAGAATGGTGATCATTTTAACAAGGTAACACTTCTTAAGAAAAACATTTGTGGAGTAAAATTCTATGAAGGATTTGGGGTCTCCCATTGTTGTATAAGTTGTTAGAAATTTAAAGCAAATACCCATTAAGGCAGAGCTGACACATCTTTCCCCCAAGAAGAATGACAATTTTTAAAAAATGAATCTATTATAAAATTGATTCAGGAAAGCTTGTCCATTAGTCAGAATCCAGCTTCAATCGTAGGTGTAGCAGAGTTAGAGTAGCTCATGTTAGAAAGGGTGGGGATTTCTGATTAGATCAGGAAATTAATGTGTCCTGGCCTTATGGGGGGACAGTCAGCTAATTAAAGTCAATTGTAAGAATTACATTATCTTTGAGCCAAAGTTTAATAAATGTCAGTTGTCAGAAAGGGAACTTCACTTTATTCCCTACATAGATCTATTTTAGCACAGATGACATGTGTGAATTTAGGCTTGCATCCCTTGATGCTGGCACATCTTGGGTCACTATCAAGGACTATGATGTAGCCCCAGTCGTAGGACTGCTGTAACAATAAAAGAGCATGCTGGGAATTTAAGAAAGATGAATAATTAAAGTGTTGCCTTTTAAAATGGCTAACGTGAAACCTCCAATATCTGTTCTAAAGAGAAAAGATTTACCCACTGGAAGATTTTCCTAGAAATACTTCCCAGCAGCTTGAGACAGTGAAGTGTTTGTACTTCTACATGAGTTGTTTGGTGGGATACACATCTGTACTGCAGAGCAGTTGTCTGATGATTTGTCAGAGCTGTAAATTCGTCGGCTGAAAGACTCTGGCAAACGCTTATGTGTAAGAATTGAGTTGTTCTTTGGACCGAGACTGGATATCTTGCAGTTCCTGTTCTTCCTTTGCTTTGATATCCTGGTAAGCCTGCATTTTGCTTGCATCCTTTAAGTAAGCCCAGTTAGAAGACAGTATCATGAGGAAGTGGATCTGGAAAAGAAGGGTGAGCATGATGCTAGTGAGCACGGCAGAGGTAAGCATGCGGCTAGTCAGATTAGACTTCTTGACTTCCAAAGGGGGAGAGGGTTACTCTGTTAATACTCACTCTGCTATCAGAGGGGCCGGGGCTGACAGCATGCACTACTAGGTGTGCTTAGTAGTAAAAGGCTGAAGGAGAGTTAGTGCACGGACATGATGAACTTGGAAAAAAATGGCCAAAGTTATTGTTAAGAAAAGCAAACACGAAACGGGAGCGGGTGCTTTTTACCATTTTGAGAGTTACTTAGAGACTAATTCAGAAGCACGTTGGGCGTTTTTTTTTTTTTTTTTTTTTTTTAAATAAGTGCAGTGCAAACAGCTTTCCTATCTGTGGAGAAGAATCAGCTCCCCAAAGGGCCTGCCTGCAAGTGTGAACAATGTTTACTTTGCGTCAGTAAGAAAAAGTACATATTCAACATGGAAAAATTAAGTAAATATCAAAATGAAAATTAAGGATTATCAGCAAAATGTTAACATTTTGAGTAGTGAAACTATACTTTTCATTTTACAACTGCCTTCACGTCATTCCACAAACTGGCAGAGCCTTATCTGTGCAGCTGATGTGGCAAGCACTTCCTCTCCCTCCTTAGCGCATATATTTCCTCTCCACACATTGCGACCGTCAGGGCCAGGCACAGTTTCTCACTTGTTAAAATCTTACGTGCAGTTTGAGAACCAGCTACGAGGAATCACTTACTGCTCACCAAGACAACCACCTACGGTTGTCCATGTTGTGGGCTCTGGAAGAAATGTTTGGGTTTGTGCAAAAAAAAAAAAAAAAAAAAAAAACCACAGAAAGTGCTTTTTATCTTCAAATTTCCATCTGGCTTATTTGAGGGGCATTTGTTTGGTATCAAGCCACGTGATCATAAAAATTTCTTATATACTGGCAAAATATTTTTCAGAAAGAGTTGGATAAAATCCAGATTACAGCGGTTCTCTTCCAGTTCATCTTGAGCACCTGTTTCCACTTGCATCATTGAAATTGGTTCTCAAGCAAGCAAAAAGAACAGAAAATGCAGGTAATTTTTCCAAAGTTCTAACACTTCCTTTGGAGATGCTGCTCAAAGTTTAAGAATACTATTTTTCAATGTACGCTCACCACCACCAGTTTGTAACTGAACCCTTCTCGTTGTTCTGTGATGCCTGCACAGTAAGTCATCTTATTAAGCTGTCATGTAGAGTGAGTTGAGTAGCGCTATTTACAAATTACTGAAACAAAACTGCAGAAATCTAAACTCTGCTTTAGTCTGGGGTGTCAGTGGTCACTGCATGCTACATGGTATACTGCTCACTAAAGCTCCTTATTGGCCTTATGCAACTTAGAATTTAGTGCAGCAATCTTCCCGACTCTTAAACTTCAAAACCGCATAGTTATATGTAGTAGCCATCATGTAGATCAGCTGGTGGAAGAGAACAGAACAGGACAGTAAGATACAGGCATGAGGCCGGTGCCGCACATGTCTAAGCTGGGGGCAGGGGGCGCTCATGGTCTAAGGGGTTTCTTTTCTCCCTTTTTAATCACAGGAGAAGAGATTTTCATACGTAGCACACTTTCTCCTCAATTTACAAAAGAGACTTGGAGGGGGTTGAAGAACAACAAAAGTGCTAGGTCGGCAGCTGGAGAAAGAAGCTGAAGGCCACGCTTCCCTCCTCTTTCCCAGACTGCCTGCTCAGCAGCAGTGCCCTTCCTGCCTGGGGCAGGTTTCCTGGGGGGATTGGGGGCGCTGTGCTGGCAAGTGCAACTTACCCCAAGCAGCTCCGGGGTCTTGAAGTCACAGAGCAAGTGCTGCCCAAATTGTGCATATGCACACAGACATGCCCATGAGTGTGTTCATACGGGTGACCCTCATTATTCACCGGTTCTGTATCGGACAGTTTGCTAAGATTGGTTTTGGAACCTCAATCAACCCACCTTGAATCAGGTCTCAGACTGTTAAGCATTTTGTAACTATTTAGTGCTGTGTTTTGCATTTGGTGATTCCACTCTGTAAATGGCTCCTGGCTGTCGTGTGAAGCACTGGCTAGTGTTGTGGAGGGCCTGGTGCTAACCGACCTCCACTCAGCCTGGGCCTCGCAGTGCTGCTGGCCACCCCTGTAGCCAGCGTGAAGCGGCACCCAGCACAAGGCTCGTGTTGCTGGACTGACACCACGCCATGCCAGAGGCCTGTAGCAACCGCCCCTCGTACTTCCTTGAGGGTGCGTGGCTTGTGCCGACAATGGCCAGTGTCCAGGAGATAGTAGCACGCACACAGCTGTGCTTCATGGGGGGCCGCGCGGGCTCATGTCCATGCATGCGTACTTCCCATTTGGAAACAGAGTTCTGGGCGAACTATGTAGCCACGCATGGCCCAGACCTAGCTAACGGGTATCGGTGCCTCCTTCCCACAGAATCCACGTCACATTACCTACATGTGGTGCCAAGATGGCCGAGCCGAACTTCCTGCCATCTAGATGTGAGTAAGCTTACTCAGGCGATGGCTAACCGAGCTCGATTCTAACCAGCAGGCTGGCCATGGCTGGAGGGGAACTGTCAGCATGTGCCCGCGGGGGAGGGGTAGGCAGTCTTGGAGCTGTTACTCACCAGGGCGATGACGGTGGCACCAGCACCCGCACAGGCCACAATGAACAGGTGGTAGGACATGTAGAACTAGGAGAGAACACCAGGGAGCCACCATCAGTATTTTACGTGGTAAGCTGCTTCATCTTTCTCCTATAGTGCTGCTCGGGAAGGCTGGCTGCCCCCCTGCAAGCCCAGGTCCCACGCCTGGCCACACACTGCTGTCACCTTGGGGGCTTTTAAATCTCACGATCAGGTGGCAGCCTGGACCCGCTGAATCTGAGGATCTGGGCTGGGTATCCGCCGTGAGTGCAGCACGATGCGGTGACGTACTGGAAGCCTGTCCGTGTCAGGGACACAAGCGCTGGCTAGCCAGAAGGGGCTGGCGGGTCCAGTAACTCGTTGCTTTCCAAAAGCATGTTAAGATTGCTCTGACATGTACAGGCTCCCACTAGTGCATTTTTTTTTTTTTGTGGGACCCTCGCTGGTGGCCGGGGATCGAACTGGCACTGCAGAGGCTGAGGGCAGCCTCGCAACCCAGCGCTCAACCACTGCGCCACCAGGGAAGGCCCTCCCACTAGTGCATTTAAGAATGTTCCCTTATGATTCAGTTACAAGCCCATGCCTGAAAATAGTCTAAAAGAAACAGCCATTTCTCTTTCCAGAATGACCTGCTAACTAGGATTTGGTTTATACCCAATTCAGAGAAATCGCTTGAAACGTTCCACCCAGAGAAACTATCTGAATGTAGATTTTTTTCTTTTTCCCCCCTTCAGATTTGCAGGCGTGGGGTCACTCCCAAAAAAGCAAGCTCTCTGACTCCCACGCGCGTCACCGACAGGACCAGGTGAAATGGCTGCGCAGTGGTGACTGGTCAGTTCAGACAAAGCGTCTGCAGAAGAGCTTTCTCACGAGCCTCAGCCCTCGGGCCCCTGGCGGAGCGCAGGTACCTCGTTGGTGTTGCAGATGTTTTCCAGAGCGGAGCCACATATCCTTCCTGGGAAAGCACTCCAGGGAATGATACCTGTGGAGCGAAGCACAGGGCAGGTGAGCTTTAGTGCCCGCCGCGGTCCTCGCCCCTGCGGGTCTCAGCTACCGTCCGTCATGAAGGGCGCACCCGCCTGCTGCGCAACAGGCTTTGTGGCTCAAGGGCCATATTTGGAACATTTGGGAAACGGGAGAGCGAAGTCAACTAGATGGTAAGAGACTCAAGCGGTCTGATTTTGATGTTCCCCTACAAATGATGCTTGGTTCACATTTGTAAACCTTGATTTTCAAAGCCAGGTAGGTTTGGTCCTGCAGTGAACTGGTGAGTGGCAAACTGAAGGACGCCCTCCCTCGGGAAACAGACCCCGCGCTGAGGTCAAACATCAACGTGCAGGCCAAGGCCTCACCCCTCAAGCTGGAGGGACTGGCCACATGCTAAGTTCCGAAACTGAGCGTACGCTCAGAACCTTGCGTGGCAACATGACACATGTGGGGGTCTGGAGAGCTTTGTGTCCTGACTGTATTGGCAGCACTTGCGAAGGTCCAGTTTGAAGTGAGCAGACAAGTGCTGTCCTTCACAGAGAGTGGGGGCAGCGCAAACGCAGCTCAAGCTGTGCTTCTCCCGGAAGGCCAGGGAGGAGGGCAACCCTTTGCTCTGTGAGGGCAGGAAGCCTTTGTGGGCGAGAAGAACGTGTCCCTACTTGACAGTGAGCCCAGTGCTTGCAGATACAGGGGATTCGGAAAGATGACGACGGATGACCGAAAAGGAACAGTGAAAATACTAACAGGGAGAGGCTCTGCGTCTGCGCGTTCACTGACAAACACGTGAGACTCAACGTGGGCTCTGTTTTTAATCCTTCACAAAGAACAGTGGCGTTAAGCCTTGATCTTTGAGAAGAGATGCGTCCCAAGGGCAGCTTTAGGCAAGGAAAAGCAGCAAACATGAAATAGTCATCTCTTGCCAGAAAGGCTCTGAAACAAGTTATTTCATCTTCAATTCGGATGGAAAGCTCTCTTCTCCCCTGGGCAGTCGTTCCTGCCAAGAACAGGATTTCCTATTGGGGTGGAAGCGTCCATCCAAGTCCTCACTTAGGAGGCTGAGTCTCACTCAGCGGGGAGGGCTGGGCTCGGATGAATTGCTCCGCAGCCCAACGGCCCCGGCTGGGGCTTGTCAAAATGAACCCACTTTGTCTCCTGTTGCGGGGATCCCATTCACTAGGAAATATGCCGCTGACAGACAGCTTTCCTTCTAGACTTAGGTTGTTTTTAGAAAGGGGGACGTGTAAGCAGTAAGGCATTTTAAAAAGACCTAATTTGAGAAGTTGGATGCACAATATTTGCGTGGAAAGCTGGAGGGTACAAAATGGAAAAGTAAAGAAAAAATACATAGAGTGGCGGTCCAGAAATCTTCTGTGACTGACTTGCATTATACAGTAGCATTCCTTCATAAAGGTTTCCTTTCACTACTCTTGTTATCAAATTTTTTTTCTCTTTAGCAACTAAGTGTCTGATGTTTGCAGCAGCAAAGGAGCATGCTGAAGCAAATACACTGTTCCTTCAGAAGACTCGGCCCCGATCACCGTGAAACAGACACCCACGTAACCCTTCGGCCCTGACACATGCGCGAGAAGAGGAGAAAGGCAACAGGAGACAGAAGGAGGTACCGTATTGCCGCACATCCACGCAGATCTGCTCCACGCTGGCCGTGCCGTTGGTCTGGGGAGACTTGATGACCTCACAGGTGGCCCAGATGTTGTGGAACATGAACACGGGCACGGCAGAGAAACCAAACACGCCCAGCCAGGCCACTCCCAGCACGTAGGTGAGGAAGACGAACTACGATGGAAACGAGAAGGATTGTCAGGACAGGGCCCGGAGGACGAACTTCAGCGGACACCAGCCCCATCGGCCGCACTCGGCGCCGTGCGTCCCGGCAGGTACCGGTGCGGGAGAAGCCAGGGGCAGGGTGCTCCCCTCCAGAGGGACAGCGTGGACAACGCCCACAGCCGAAGCTGCCTCGGATCCCTTTCATCAAAAGCCCAGGACCTGAGGCCCGAGAGCGGGTCTCGCCTGGCCAGAGACTGACTAGCGCGGGGCTCCCAGCGCTGCTTCCCCAGCATGAGTTGGGAGAACTCGGCATGGTTCTTCTGGCGCACTGGGACTTCATTTCGTGAACGCCCCGAGTGCACAGCGTGGGTGGCGCACCAGCGACTGCTGCGGGAAACGTGACCCTGTGGCGTTATTGTTAGATGCTTGAACTTTTGTTAAAAGTGTAGCCTTCAATAAAGTTTAGCCTTGAACACGCTTTTAACGCGCAGTGAGTCTGGCAAGACTCTCCTTTTCCTCTGCTTGTCTTTAGTCTGTGGGACTCACAGCACTTCTGCCAGCAAAGGGTGGCTGAGGGCGCCTCATCGCGCTCCCCCGCTCGTTGCCATAGGCGTTTCAGAAGGAATATCAGCAATTACTTCGAAGCCTCCTGCCTTGACTACCAATTTTCAGACAGCGTGGAAAGGTTGCTTCAAAAACCCCGTGGTATTATATTTTCAGAATGTGCACCCACAGGGCGTGTGGGCGAGGGCTTGGAATTCTGCTTTGGCTTTTAGGAAGCTGAGCCGAAGACCCCCCCCCGCCCCCCCGACATCCCCTACCTCTGGAAACCCCTGCAGGCTGCGGGTTGGGTCAGGCCCAGACTGACCGCCTTCTGTTGGTCACCCCTTGGTCACCCCGGGACACTGCGGAGACAGGTCACTCTCCCTTTGATTTCAAGGACATGTTCCCTTCCGGAAGCATTTGCATTTCTAAAAATACTCAAAGCAGCAGATTTCAGCGGTTTGCCACCCCCTCCCTCCCTGAGGCTCATGGATCAGCCACTCCAAAGTAGGGTTCCTTTTTTCTCACCCTTCAAAAGGAATGTTTAACTTTCTACCATCACCCAAAGATTTGGGAAAGAGCTTGGCGAGATTACACCCCCTACCCCCAGCCTGCAGAACTGTGTCCTCAGGGAGCCCCCGCAGGCCTAGTGAAAGCAAGGCCTCCTTTGAGGTAGGAGCAGCGGCTTGCTGGAGGGCACAGTTAGCTGAGCTGGCTGAAGGTAGGTATCTCCCCAAGAATCAGAGCCCGTGGGTCGCAGGCTCTGATGACGGAGGGGCGCATGCGCGGAGGGAGGGGCGTGGAGGTAGGACGCCCGTTACATCACATGATCTTGACTCTGGGCTACCTCCGTGGCTACTTCCTTCCCCCTGGCTCTCGTTCCTTTCGTGCTCACTCCAGTATACCCCCCTTGCCCAGTCTTGAACCTGTCCCCCAGAAGTTTAGGTCTCTGCTGTCTTGCACCACGAGCCTTGCCATCACCACGTCTTCGCCTCCCTCCACACCACTGCCCTGGGCTGCCACGCAAGGCCCTTCCCGGCCAGCAGCACGAGCCCTTCCTTCACTGGCTCCCTGGAGTGGCCTCCCTGCCTGCTCCTCTTCCCCAATCAGGGGTGGGCGGTGTCCACTGCCCGGGCCTGCAGCAGGCTGTCCCTGCCGGTCCCTCAGCGAGGAAGCTGAGCAGGAGCCAGAGGCCTGCGACGCAGCGGGGGCAGTACATTCAGCGGCTTCCCTTGGATCCCCGGGTGCCTCCGGGGACAAGTAGCTGTGGCCGCCACGCCTGCCCTGGGTCGGAGGCCACCGCTCTGGAGAAACCTAAGGTGTGCTCCGCACAGACCCTCCTGCCAGGCTCCAAGCTGCTCACCGAGCAGCTCTGCCAGCTGCCTGAGCGGGCTCTCCAGCCTCGGGAGCAAGCCCGCAGCCTTCCCCAGCCCGCGGGGGCTGCTTCCTCCGCTTAGCACCTCCCTCGCGACTCCCGAGCTGCTCTCCTCTCCCGAGCGTGCTTTCAAAGGCCAGATGGCTGCGGCGCCGCCAGCGCCTTGTCCCTCCAGTCTCACAACCCACCAGCGTATCCTTTTGGGAGGCAGCCCCTTCCAGCCCTGCCCGCCCGATGCGCTCACGCGTGGTGCTCCGGACCAGGAGGGCAGCGCCCGCGGCGTGTCCGAGGCTGGGCGGGGGACCCGAGGCCACGAGGCAGCTGCGCCTGGGCCCGGGTCCCCGGCCCAGACCGTTGACATCGAACTTCGAGTTTAGTACACATCTCATGCGCCCCATTAGTCACTGGTTCCCACCCCACGGTGACGTAAGGACAGAACAGTCTTCGCCCACAAATCAGGCAAACACACGCACACTGGAGCAGCGAGCCGCGGGCGACAGGCTTCTGGAGGACAAGCGCTTACGCTGCAGCCCTCGCGCTCCCAGTGACCCGCCACGCCCCTGCTAGGAGCTCGGTCCACACTTCCAGAAAGGCGGTGGCAGCGTGGCGCAGCGCGTGGCAGCTTTTACTCCAGGAGGGACGCGCTGAGCCAACCTGACAGCTCTTGCCTTTCCCAGCAGAAGCTCAGTATTTGGAAAACACCCGTTACCCGTGCTCGCGACAGCGGACGCTCCATCTCACGCCAGCGGCGGGTTCACCGCGCGGGCGCTGGAGATCACGAGCTCCAGACTGGGAAGAGGTGGCTGCGACGGGATGCCCCGCCACTAGCGGCTACTCGTGGCAGCCGGGCCGCCGCGGCCCCCCCAGCGCGCGCGCCTCCGACTCACCATGCCGCTGATGCACCGGCCGCAGGCGGTGGTCTTGAACTCCCCGTGCAGCTCCTTCACCGCGCTCGTGGTGTAGAAGCCCTCCGCCAGCAGGATGATGCCGTACAGGAAGAAGAAGGACGCGATGCCGTAGATGACGTACTGCATCAGCTGTATCCTGGGGGAGGGAGACGGGCCCTGACAAGTTAAATTCACTGCCCGGAGGGGAGAGGACGTTTCTGGCCTCTGCAGGGAGGCCCGGAGGCGGTGGTCCTGCCACACCGCCTGCCCCACAGAGGCTTTGATGGGCCCGTGAGGCGGGGCAGGCAGGCACCCGCCCCCCCACCGCGGCCTGGGCCGGGCCGGTCCTCATCGGGGCACCCATGCGTCTCCGGGCCGCTCATTTCCTGGAAAGACCCTGAGCCACTGGGACGTGGGAGCAGAGCTCACCGCTTCGGTGCTGCGTGGCACCTGCCTCCCCGCCGCATGCCCCCACGCCACGGCGCCAGCGTGCGAGGTGTGCGATGGCCATTCCGGGCCAGTCCCGGGGCCAACCCTCGCCTCCGCCCTCTCCCATGGCCCTTCTTCTCTGCGCACCCGGGGAGCTGCCGTGAGCCGCTGCCTCTCCCGCCGGGTGGCGCGCTGCGCTCTTTGCCCACGTGGCGCGGCTGCCCTTGCAGGCCTTCCGCGGGCCGCGCATACTCACACTTCGCTGAGCAGGGCGTGGTCGCTGGCGTTGGTGGAGAAGTGCTGCTCCAGGATCGCCACGGTGCCCGCCAGGGCCACATGCCCACAGCCACAGAACAAGGCCACCCCGGAGAAGCAGAGGATGGTGGCCACGAGCGAGGCGTAGGGGACTCCGCCCAGACACTTGATGCAGCACTCGAAGCAGCCTGCGCCAGGGGAGAGAGGGCGGCTGTGAGGGCAAGACGCCTGCGGGCCCAGGCGCAGCTCACGCTCAAGGCTCTACCTTCCCATCTGCCCTCCCGCCCTCGCCCTCGACGGCCAGGATCCCGACCCACACTCTGTGGGGGAGAGCCCCGAGGCTCGGAGAGGGAGCCTAACTTGCTCGGGACCCGGAAAGGGGGTGAGCGGCAGAGCAGCCAACGGAAGGGTAGCTGCGGAGTAAGTTCTAGAGTTTCTGGTTGGCGAGCTGGGGGCTGGGCGCGGGCGGAGGAGGAGCGAGCATCCCGCGAGCAGCCAGAGAGCACAGCAGTGAAGCTGGAGTTCTGTGAGGAGAAGTGAGAGGCGGGTTCGCCTGAATTGCAACTTTTTGGGGTCCGAGGACAGCTGCTTGCACAGCAGTCAGCGCTTCTCCCGCGCCCGGGGCCCCCTGGCGAGCAGGAGCAGCAGCAGTGCTCAACCGCGGCCGGGCTGGCGGGAGCCGCGCCGGGCCAGGCCGAAAGGCCGCGCTCGGGGCCTCGAGGCCCAGGTCACCGAGTCCGTCTCGGAGGGGCCGCCTCGGTTCCCTTCAGGCCACTGGCCGGATGCCCCCCGCGGGCAGCGCGATGCTTCCTCCGGGGCCCCCGGCCCTCCCCCGCCAGCGCGGAGGGCCAGCCCGGAACTCGCGGGCGCCCGGAGAGGGGGAGAGGAGGGGAGAGACAAGATGAGCGTCCATGGAGTGAAATGAGGGAGAGAAAGTCACAGGGCGCCTTTCACCTCGACAGAAGAAGCCTGCTCGCTCCAAACACAAGCTGCACTCCACAGGCCCAGAGAGCCCTCCCGAGCGGCAGAGCCCAGCGACGCCTCAGCGCGGGGACCCTGACGCCCCAGCGGCGCCGACCGGCCCCGGGGTAAGGCAGCGGCTCCCCCGACTCCCGCCCCCCGGATCTTCTCAGACCCCCACGTGCGCGGCTTCAGGGGACGCGACCTCCGAAGGCCTTGGGAGGTTTAAGGGCGTGGAGAGCCGCTCATTACTCCCAGGCAGCTGCATTTCCTTCCTCGGATGGTCTTCGCGGGGGGCCGGGAGTGGCCCGCGGAAAGCGCGGGAGACGGTTCACTTTGGGGAGCACCTTCGCCTCAGCCCCCACGCGAGCAACCGTCATCGCCAGACCTGTCAGTCTGCGGGGGAAGACGCGAGCCCAGGGCTTCCGGAGCGAGCGGCCTTGCTTCTCACTCAGCGCATGACCGGCTGCTTCCCCCCGCGAAGACCCCGTTCCACAGCCCGTCAGCGCCTCACAGCGCTGCGGACGCCTGGGGCGCGGAGCAAGGACGACGGAGCTCCCGCTCCCTGGCCGTTGGCGGGCTGGGGCTGAGGTGAGGCGGCGGCCATGCCACTGCAGCTCTCCAGGCTCCCAACCCAAGAGAAACCAAAGTCCTCTGCCTCGATTATGCCAAGAAAAAACCAGATGTGCGTGTGCTGTGTCCATCCCTGCCCCGCTCTCCGGCGTTCTCAGCCCGTGATGACGTTAGGAACAAGATGAAGGCTGGCGTGTGGGCCCTACGCACACACGTGGCTTTGGGACTCTGCTGGCCAGCGTGGCAGCCACCAGCACATGCGGCTGTTCCAATTACTGGGTTACATCGGATAAAAACATCAGTTCCTCGGCCCCACTGGCCGCACGTCACATACTCCACAGCCACGTGTGTGTGGCTACCATGTTGGACAGAGCAGACAGGGAACATTCTATCATGGCAGAACACTGCCTTGGAAGCTCCATTCCACTTGCCACCTATTCACTTTTCTGTAACTGCACAGGGTTCTGAGCTCTGCTTTGACTTTCACACATTCAGTCCTTTCTGAAGACCCAAGGGGGGCTCAGCACTGCTTGCACTGGGGATACAGATGTGAGACCTGGCTAATGCTGCAGGCCAACAGGCAACACAATTACTCAAGCGGAGCATGAGGAGGGTCAGTGGCTAGTGGGTGGGGAGAGGAGCGAGGAGGGACTGTGGCGCGGTGGAGAGCTCAGGAAGGGCTTTCCACACAAGACGAAGTGTGCAGATGACGTAAACAGCTGACATGGCGACTGATATAGAAGTGACCAAGTGCTCATTAATTTCTAAGCATTTTGTTGTGTGTGTATTTCAGTACACCCGCATCCCCGCACACCGTCGGGGGCCAGGAGTCGGTGTTCCGGTGCAGGGCACGTGCCCTTCCACAATATAACGGCCTCCTACATCCTCCATTACCAGTTCAAAACTGTCTGTCAGCCGCAGGGAGAGCGCGTTCTGCTTCTCTCAAAGGAAACATCACACCCGCTCCCTGACTCAACAACACAAACGGGCTCAAGATGCTGCTGGTCAGTCCAAATTCACCACAAGATCAAGGCTAAAATGTCCTCCAATCTCTCTCTTTCAAGAACTCCAGGTACCCCGTGCTGTGGGGCTAGTTTTATAACAGGGGAAAGGCGGGGACTCAAGGGTCCGGGGGATCACTGGAATGGATCATACTCTCCCAGCAGACGCCAACGCTCTTCCATCTGTGTGTGGCCGTAGCACGTGGGGCTATTACAGTTTTCCACACTCGCAGATAAAACTCCCAGGGACCCTGCAGGCGAGCGTGCGCTGGAGCTTGTGGAATGCAATGTGGACGCAGAGCTGATTCTCGCTGGGCTGACGAGGCATCCGCTGGGCTGGAGTCACGTACGTTGTGGACATCAATCATCTCTAAATGGACTGTCCCCCACTGTACTTTCTATGTCAGTCTAGAAGCTCTAGCCACAGTGTGCAAGGCATCGTGAAGCACTGGGCGGTTAGGTGATCTGCCACACACTTATCCCAGAGAACCCAAAACTACTGCACCAAGTTAGTAAGAAAGACTTAAATATCTTCTCAAATGGACGTCCATACTGTTAGCATCACCCCACACGGGCATTTCTGACTTGAAATACACGTAGGTGTCAACGTGGCAAGGCTGGTGGCGGAGACCCAGGCAGGTCTCGTGGGCCCAGGTCTGGCTGCGCGCTCTGCTTTCACCATCTTGAAATTCTTCCTACATTTTGAACAAGGGTGTCTGAAGTTTTCCATTTTGTACCGGGCCTACAAATTATGGAGCCAGTCGCAGGTATATTGATGTGGGAGGAGGCCTTTTGGCTACGCATGTCCAAGTAGCCTTCGCTTCGTTTCAGTGTTTGATAGAAATACAGCCAAGGAGGCAGCCGTGGCCTTGCCTCACAGGCCGTCCTGACTACTGGGACTGTCCAGCTGTAAGGGCCCGGCTCCCGAGAGGGCGTCGCCACCGCAGCGTCCCTCTCACTCCCCTAGAGCAGGGCTTCAGTCAACCACAGCCCAGGGCTTTGTAAGTCAAGTTTTATTGGAACAGAGCTACGCTTACTAATTTACAAATTGGCTGCGGCTACTTTTACCCTAACATGGCAGACTGGAGCACGGCGAGGGCTTGGCTTCCAACGCCTGAAACAGCCACTGACGACAGCAAGCGTGCAGCCCTGCCTGGGAGCAGTCAGGTTCAAAGTGCGGCCCAGACCAGCGGCGTCAGGATCGCCCAGGATCACATTAACACTGCGACTCTTGGGTCCCACCCCAGAAGACCTGAATCAGAAACTCGGGAGGGGATGGTTTTCCTACTGTGGTTGAGTCCCGAGCGCGCTCACCGTGGAGAACCACTAGCCTAGGAACTGTGCGAGTTCTGCCTGCTCCCCTTCTGCCTGCTTCCCTCCACCGCGAGCCAAGTCCTCTGCAGTAAAAAGCTGCCTCCACAGAACAAGGCCCCGCTTCCGCCAAGATGGAAGAACAGGGCCCTAATTTATTCTCCTGCCTAAAACAGCCCCCAAACTGGACAAGACCTATGAAACACCGTCTTCAGACCCGGTATAAAGAACCATCCAGGGCGAATGAACGGGTCGGTTGCTACAAGACGTGCTCAGCGGAACCAAACAATCAGTGTTAGAGGAGCCGCAACTCGTTTCACAGAAGCAGTTAGCACAGGCTCACGGGAAGGCACAGCGCAGGCCTCCTCAGAGAAACTGCCCCGAAACCTGGCTGCTCCCGCCACCTCGGGTATTGGGGGCTCCTAGAGGCCCCATTAAAATGAAGCATGTCGGGGAAGCAGAGTGCAGGTCTGGGGGAGCCCGCAGAGGACGGAGCCACTGTCCACTCGCTCCGCTTCCATCAGGGGACACTCGACGCTGACCACGTGCCTGACGTCCCAAGCCTTGGGCTAGGCGCTGGCGGCGGCGAGCTAAGACAGGGGAGGCCTCCAGTCTGCGGGGTAAACAGCCGTTAGCCGAGCGGTTCTAGGATGTGAGTTAGTTCATAAATGGCGAGAAGGAGGGGCTGGGGGTGCTTCGGGAGCAGGAAGAGCATGGACAAAGGCGCCGTGGTGGACGAGAGCAGGGCACTTCCCCAGCACGTTAGAAGCCAGAACAGAGCAAGTCCGGGGCGGGGGGGGGGGGGGGCTATGAGAACTAGACCTCTCAGGGCCTTCCAGGCCACCTGAAGGATTCTGGGCTGTATCTTGGGAATCCCTGAAACCCTGGGCATCCGTAACCCCGGGGAACAGACGGGCTGTGAAGATCACGAACGCGGGATGCCTGGGCACCCGCTGCAGTGGTTCAGGCAAAAGACGGCGGGAGCAGGGGCCAGGGCAAGGGGCGGAGAGCTCCATGGTCCCGACGCGGGTCAGATGTCAAGCGCGAACACTGGGCGCGGCCTTGATGGCGGGCTTATGGGTGGACTGCGCCGCTCATAACCGAATGGGAGCTGCCGTCCCGAGCGGGGGCTCTTCCCCGAGCAAGGGCTGACCAGGGGGCTAAGCTTTAAAGACGCAGACCTTGAGCCGCAGACCTGCTGAGCTTGAGGCGACCGGCCGCCTGCGAAGGGAGGACGCGGGCAGGCAGTGCGCGGGGAGGGGCTGCCGGGCTGCAGGGAGAACTTTCCGAGGCAAGAAGAGATGCGTGGGCTTTTTTCCGCGGAAGGTGCCGACCACCTGTGC